TGGGATATAGTCGGCAATTATGTAGCCACATATTTCATTAAAAGAGTAGGTAACCCGTGTACAGGCCCCTTTAGAAAACTTTGCAATCGTCTACACTCTACACTTGCTTGCACAGTGGTAAACGTACGAGGCTCTACTAACTGTCCACAATGATCTGAGCTAAGATCAGTTGTAATTGAGGTTTGCATTGCCTCTGCATCTGTAAATACATTATCTATACATGTAGCAGTGGAGCTTGCAAGCTTGTTGTGCTTGTAGTAGTGATTCTAGTGGGCTCAAGAAACAAGTTTACATGATTGTAAGATTTTAATAACAGATTAAATTTTTAACTACTGGAGGTATTTTCTAATAAATTTATATTGAAGTCACCACATACAATAATATACTTATTGTTCTTAAAACTAACTCTTGACACAAAATTTCCTCCAACTTTTCTTCAAAAAACTCGTAAGATGCAAGAAGGTGGTCTGTAAACACTTTAAATAATGCAATTCTCAATCTCTTTACAGGCTACTTCCAAAGAGTGTTCTACAGACACACGATGTCATTACGCTCTTTATACTTTAAATTTTTATTAACAATAATAATCTTATCCTTTGTCAATACATAGTTATTTTTAAATATACAATTTATGTCAATTAAATTAGGTAGTGTACCTAAGTCACAATTTAATTGTATACTTATTATTAGTTAAAGTATTGTGCAACAGCATGTTCAACTTGTATCTAATTTTATTTTCCCTTGGTGCACCTTTGGATGTAAGGTAATGTAGACATCTTTCATCAAGTGATTTTAATTTATCAATAAATGACTAGAGTTACTATAACTAAAAGTCTTCAATACGTACCTACGGCTCGCTTATTTTCTCTTGCTCTTACAACTTTATTACTAATATAAAATATGATAATATTGATATCTAGGAGCAATCTTTCAATCTTTTTACTTACCGTAATGTTTGTTCATTACGCTCTTCAAATGAGGTTTAAGTTTCTTGTATTTTTTAAGTATATATGTTGTTTGTTAATAAATAAAGAATAAAGTTGCTATTGAAACACGTAAAGATGAAAGCATAATATATTTCATGATTATTACTTTGAGCAAATAAATTCCTTAAAAATTTCCTAAATTCTTAACTTAACAATAAATATGGAATAACTTGATATAAAATCTACAATGGAAATGTATAACGCTCAGGTATCTGAAGTCTCGGCCTCTATGACGTTTCATATATTTTTCTTGACGACCGGAGAGGGTGGATCGCTGAAGTCTCTGCGAAAGGATTCGCTCAGGTCCTCAATTCTGTGTTCACCGTCGGGGAGCTCGTCCAGCAAGCAGGCCTGCACGTTCTTGTCGAGGGTGACGAGCCTCTGGCGCGAGTTCTTAAACTCCTCCACGAGACTGAGGTTCCTCTTGATGCCGTCGACGAGTCTGACCACGGAGTACTCCCCCATGGCCGCGCCCTCCTGCAGCTTGGTTCCCGCTATCTTCGCCATCGATGAGGTCTTCACGTCCGTCACGAGCTGGACGAACCACTGCCTCAAGTTGTTCAGGATCGTCACGGGACCCTCGTACTCGTTTGGCACGATGCCGTCCACCTCGGATTCGAAGAAGGACAGCAGCGGAAACCATATTCGAGTCCTGAAAACCGATAAGTTTAATCGAAATGTTTCAAAACTGGACTCATGGATTGTACGATTTGGATGAAACTCTAAATTTTCACACAATAACTCACTAACACAGGATTCAACTATAAAATGCGAGGATATACCTAGAAGAATCGTTCTGCATGAGCGCCTGGTTGTTCGAGAGCGTGTGGTAATAGAGGAAGAGCCGCGACGTTATGTAGAAGGCGATGAAGACGTCGATGGAGTAGTGCTCGTGCGCAGCCAAAATGAAGAAAATACCGAACATGTTCATCACCCACGTCAGTATATGCATCAGGTACAGGCTTCGGGAGGTATCTGCGAACATATATACTATATATGTATCTATTAGTTTATTGACGATAGGGATACAAACAAACTTCGTTCGAACCATTGAACGTTTTGACTCAAACTCGACAACTTACAAAAAAAAGTTTCAAAACCCAGCTTCGAAGACAATAATTGCCAAGGGCGTTGACTGGCCCCATTACGCGTGCGTAGAGTAGATATTAGCCGATTCGTAATACGATAAGACGTTAAGTAAACAAATGTAATTGATTTTGGTAAGAATTGCATTTAAAGCTAGTGTCATAAAGCTAAATACGTTCACCGGATCAACTAATAATCATTTAAGAAACCTATAATATGGTAATTAAAATTATGAATTATAGGTACGCTACTTTATCGTGAACCAAGCGGCAGCAAAGCAATAATAAACATATTTATTTTGTTTTAGTATATGTTGACGTAATTCTACGGAGGCAATGGTGCCATATCGTTATGTAAACAAATAAACAAGCCCGCACTTCCGTATGCGCAAATCGAAGTCCGCAAAACATAATTATGTCAGTGGTACAAAAAGATAAAACTGATTACATTAATTTTGAAAGCGGCGACATTAATATATTCTTAGATATTTATATGATGATTTAACGTTAACGTGAAACGTTTCATATAATTCTTCGCAATAATGAATCTTCACGGAAGGATCTAAATCCAGGAACCGATTTAAAGCAGCAAGAAATCGTAATAAGCCGGCGTTCGCCACCCACTTAGAATGTAAAAACTTTATTTCCTTAACAATGGATGAAAATTACAATAATTATTTAAATGACTCAAAACAGTGAAATTGTGTCTATGAAATAAGTTTATGTATTCCTGGTACAACAATGAGAGCTGATGCTAATTATTATTCCCAAACACGAATAAATTAATTGGTTTTTAATGTAACAATTGATGTAGGTCATGCTTATTGTAATACTTTGTACCCAACATTATGAAGAAAATAATCATTAGTGAAGCACACGCTTATTTAGACAAGCAAAAGCCTCAAACCCAAGTTTTGATCCCTATTATATCGTTAATTACATAGAACTTTATGGTGTTTGATGCCATGCCACTGAGTTATTATAAAATTACATATACACACACTTAATTTAAAACAAAAAATTATTGTCTAATAGTTAACTTGTACAACCTCACACAAAGAAACCTGTGGTATCTTCTATTTAATATAAACATATATTTATAAATACACATGTATGAAAGTATGTACTCACATTCGGTGATAAAGAAATTGAGTAGAGTCAAAGCCACCGTGTGACCAGAGAACATGTAGTCACCACAAGTCCGCACGCCCCTGACTGACATTCCAGCACCACTCCATATGTCATAGGCCTGTTGAAGTCTTCGCCCCCAGACAGTCAGATCATCGGCAGGTGGATAGAATCTAGGCTCGCACTTTAAGTGAGAACCGGGTACGGACAGCGATGTTATTAGCATTGTAAAACATCTCAACAGAAACACAGTCCCAGCCAAAGCAAAGAACCTTCTAAGAATTATAAACCTAAAAAAAGAAAGGTAGGTCATAATTTAGGTTCTTGTGCTCTCTGTTCTGGAAGTGGCAGGCATATTTTACAACAGTATTATTAGATAGAATATTTAGAATATATGATGAGTTTGGAAATATAAATCAACACCTTTTTTATGTCATTCCATCTTTTTCCTAGGTACAAATAGACAACAATTTATATTATTTACATGATATGCTTAATAGAGCTACATAGTTTAAGTTACGTAACTTACCTATGTTTATGGAAGAAAAGTACTATTAGCCAAATAGCCATAAGTAGAGAACCAGTAATCTCACACATATCAAAAGCCCATGGAATATGGGGCACATTATCCAGGAAGAGATCAGGAAGGGGTGGATACTTTTTCATATCTGGGACCTTATCATGCACTATTACCATGACCACAGCCGTCACCCAGGTCACTAAGAAAAGATAGCCTGCAAATTACAAATTTTTAACACAATACAATCCAAGCAAACCAAGTTTATCATTAATTAATTAATATTTACCCAATGCAATGGCTGTTTTCCATATCTCTGGTTTTAATTTTGATGCCTTTATGTCTGTGTAATTGGTCACACAATCTGTACTTCTTCCATACACCTCATTTTGTAATTGACTATGAAGATTATAACTTAAATGTGATAAATTGGTGCCCACAAAGTTTATATTTGTTGCGGGGTTGGATAATGAATCATCAAATAAACCCAGCTCACACATAGCATTTCTATTATTTTTTTGCAACTTCTTCACTAATAAAATAAATCTTTTTCGATCGCCTAGTTTTAACTGATCAAATGGATAGTCGTAAAAATCTCTGTCTAGAAAAGATAGCAAACATCGGCCGTCGATATCCTGAGATTTACAAATTTCTACAATTAAACTACTTAATTTCTCTTTATGTAATAATTCAAGAACTTCTTTGTTGCTCCATTTTACTATATCCCCATCCATGTTCACAACACTGGGAAGATATACTCCACAATGTAAAATTATTTTTATTATAATTTATATTCTAATGTAGCACTGCAAAATTTACCCTAATATTTATATTTCAAAGAGAAAGTGCAAACATTGTTTGAAATGATAATATTACTTTGATATTATACAGCTAACCTTTGTTTTCAATATCCCTACTACGCCACACCTGTTTGTCAAGTGTGACACTGACAATTGCCATTGCCTGTAGACGTAAAGCACAGACCTTTTACTGTAATTGATATATAAATATGTACTTAAAAATTTAACGTTATTTTAATAATACACAACTTTTTAATACCAGGAAATTGCAGTGCCAAGTAAACGCGAATTCGCATCTATTGTAAGTCCACTCGTGAAGAATAGACGAATAGACAGCTACTTTCGATCTTTCTGTTAGAATGTGAAGGTTGTATCAACAAATAAAACAGCAGTTGGTTTAAAATCCGATTTACATAATTACTATCAGTCAATTTAAAAACATATAATTATTTTAAAAGTAAATATAGCACCAAAATATCACAGTTCATACTATTTGTAATTGCACCAAGTACTTTATATTTACTTGCGCTTCGTCGTAAACGATATATCTGGGAGAAATGTTTAGGAATCTACTACTAATAATAAAAAATCGGTCGTCTGTAAAGTCGGTTTACTGACGATTATTGTACGTGACAACGTCAAAAGAAACGCTGCCGAACGCGGAGGCCGATTGTGCCTCTTAGTCGCTCGTTCCGCGCTCTCGCTTGCACTTCAAGCCTTAAATGGAACGCCTCAGTGCGAGGTAACGCCGCATGAGTCATGTTTTCTCGTGCGTGCAGCCGGCTTCATCGAATTATAAGACGTTGTCACGTCAATAAAGATTCATCACATACGTAACGTAGAGTTTGAATAGAGTCGTGACCAATCAGGTTCCTATGAATTACTACGTACCTACTTGAAAAAGCAGGGTTAGGATAAAAACCGTCAGCGAATATCGGTAATATACTGACCGACCATAATCAATTTAAAAATCGCTGGTGTTCTTGGCCTTTAAAACTGGACGAGTGGGTGTCATGAACATGTGAAGGTTTAAGGCAAAAGGATACTCGTTGTGAATCAGTACAGGTTCGTCGGGGTCGTCTCTCGTGTTAGGTACTATGGCGCCCAGCGGGACTTCCGTGCTGTCGGGTAAAATCTCTGCTGCGGCGGGATCCGGTCGAAAGCGGCCCACGCCCCAGACCGAATTCGTACCTTGCGGTAGCTCGGTGACCGGCTCCCTCCTGGTACAACGTTTCCTAGACAATGTTTACTAATAAAAAGAACGTCACCAACGGAGATATTGAAGAGCTTTATTCCTACAGAGTGCATCTCAATTTTATTAAATGTCAAGACGGTAAGTGTAATCTTTGTATATTCTGTCTAATTCGATGAGGGTAGACTAGTGCAGGAGACGTATTATAACCGTACATGTTCCCGAGGGCCACCCGGCACAAGAGCAGCACAGCGGCGGGGTGGTCGGGCGTCGTGTACGCGTATTGCGCGGACTTTGTGACGACGTCGGCGAAGTAGATGCCCTTTCCGAACATGTCACCCGTCCTCTCGACGCCTTCGGGGGCTATGCGAAGTCCTGAAATAAAAATCCGCATCACCTCATCGAGGATTTTCGATATACGTTCTATATTAATGTCGTCGCAAACCTTCTAGCAAAATGGCCGCCACGTTGGAGAGCCGGGAGCCGTGCCACAGGAGCTTCCGGTTGGGAAACGCGGCGTAAGGCTCGAAGCGCTCCGCTTCGCCCTGTCGGTCGACGCTGAATATCTAGAAACCGCCGAAGTTTAGATCCGCGAACCGCTAGAGCCGATTCGCAGACTGGAGAGATCTCACCTGTTCGACCTTTATTTTAAACGAATGGGCCTTCGAGCGAGTGTTCAGCAAGTACTTCATGACCGTGCCGTATTCCGGGGAATCGGTACCGAGAGGCAAAATTTCGGTCTTCAGCTTCAAGTAATACTGTTGCATGAGGCCAATCTTTACATCCATATCTAAAAACATTTTAGAGCGGGAGATGATTACTAGTAGTTAGTTTTAATAAAAAAAGGAAAACGATTCAAAAAGGTCGAAATAGAAAAAATACCTTCGTGCAATATTTTATAGGAAACGTGGGTCTTAGAAAGATCGTCGAGCATGTGCATCTTCGATCTAATCAAATCCACGTTATCGAGTAATACCAACTCCTTGAAGTTGCCCTTGTGCGGTATTTTGGTATAAAATCTATAAAAAAAATGTGCTACAATGAAATCGGCAAGCATCCTGAGGCACATTGCACAGAGAAATAGGGGGATCACAGAACTGAAATGCTGGCTCACCTCGTGGACAATTCTTCAATCCTCATATATTCTTCCCGCCCTTCGCTAACGATGTCGTACAGAGCGCCCAATATGCGGAAGCCGGACGAGATCTGCTCCTGCGACGGAACACCCAACGGCATTTTGTCGGTGTCGATCTGAAAGCGGTATTATCTTAATATGACTCATTATATTTAATAAAACAAATTGTGAATTTTGTTAGACCGAACGCTACGAATACTAAGTTACGGACAATCACAAATTACGAATACTAAGTTACGGACAATCACAAATTACGAATACTAAGTTACGGACAATCACAAATTACGAATACTAAGTTACGGACAATCACAAATTACGAATACTAAGTTACGGACAATCACAAATTACGAATACTAAGTTACGGACAATCACAAATTACGAATACTAAGTTACGGACAATCACAAATCACGAATACTAAGTTACGGACAATTACAAATTACGAATACTAAATTACGGACAATCACAAATTACGAATACTAAATTACGGACAATCACAAATTATGAAAACGATAGTTTTACCATAGCTCATTATAAACTAGAAGCTCTTTAAATCTTGACAATTTTTCTCGACGCAAACCTGCAGGATAACATTAGTGTCAAAATGAAAAAATTAGGGATCTTCGGGTTGACGCTGTTCTCGGTGATTAAATAAAGACGACTCACGTCCATGTCGGCGATGGTCTTGTTCATGATGTTGATGTCGAACAGCAGTATCATCAGCTCTTGCACGGCGCGCGGCAGCTCGCTCTGCGAATCGAGGCACAGCGGCTGGGGCTCTCTTTCGGACAAATCGGCCATTTCGATCAGATCAAACTTGCCACATTTCTGAAAGAATTACGAATTGTGACGAAATGTAAAAAGAAAATATATGGACTTCTCGTTCTCGTACCTTTTGAAAATTGTGTCTTCGGGTCCAGATGTTCCCAGTTTTTTTATAAAACACGTCCCGGAAGAAAGCTTTCGCCTCTCCTAAATCCTCAAATTCTTTCCTGTAGTGCTTCGGTTCGGAGCCTGTCGGTCCGCAGCTTCTCACCACGCAGTATCTGAAAGGTCAATCGAGACTCAAACGAGCTTTTCGTCACATTTCAAGTTTCATTGGACAATGAAAGGCATACAGACCGTTTCTGAACGTCGGCGACCAAGAGCTGCATGGTGTAGCTCCGGTTGGTTCCGTGCCTGGCGTCCATGTAGACGCGGTTCAGCGTGGCCGAGTACGGCTCGCCCTTCTCGCGGTACACGTGGGCCCAACGCTCCAGGCCGGTTCCCATCACCAACGGGATGCCATCTGAAGGATTCAATAAACCATTCCATCGTCAGTGAGAACGAAAATAACATAATGTCGTTTCCAATAAATTGTAAGCCAGAGCTCACCCTTGACTTTCAGGGTGGATATATGAGGTTGATCCGACTTAAGAATGTAAACACCTCCGGAGACTCGAACCGGCTCTCCTTCTAAGACCTGTCTGGGCACACGCGAATAGATCTGAAAAGAAGATAATTTTAAGATATTTGACTCGTACGAACACGAATTAGACATTTTCCAGCTCACCAAAGGGTGTGAGGAAATATTTTAAGAAGCGGGAAGACTTTGACTTTATTTAGTAGAAGTACCAATTCAGTTTTATCTTTAAAACATTAAGTTATCCTTAGTTTAAAATTTAATTCTAGTTGTCTTTTTGAAGTTATACTTCTTTTGGCACGTTAGGGAAAAATGATGAGAGTAAATTTTTACGATGCGCGCGCACACCGTCACAGAAAACCGACACCCTGAAGTTAGCTATAGTCAACATTTTAGTTTTTCTTATTGTTAGTGTCGTTTTTTCTTCAAACGTAGAATAAGGCGAAAGATATCAAAGTGTGTGCGTGTAACCTTTACGCGCGATTGAAGTAAAACTTCTTTGGCGTTGACGGCATATATCACTGAAATGATTAAATATTAACTTAAATAATAAATATGATATTATAATTTAATTATATTTATTATTAATTTACTTATTTTATAAGTAATAAATCAATAAATATATTTAGAGATTTTCAAAAAACTTTGCAATTTAAAATATTTTTTGCTGTTGAATTTTTTTTTTATTCACAATTGATCCGTTTGAAAATTTGGAAATAAATAATCCTAATTGATTATGATATTCGCCACTACATGGCGTATAAGTCAAGAAGCGTGGAGTATATGACAATAATTGACATAATATACTTACGACCAATCCGAATTATTATTTTAAAATAGCGGAAACAACACAGACTAACTAACTACACAAGTAAGCGTTACATCCGTCAGAAAAAAATCTGAGTTACTCCCTAGTCGCGCCTAAAGAAGTTTTACTTCAAAAATTTTATATTGTTACGCAAAAACAATATAACTTCTAACGCGTGTACATGGGTACGGGATTTATCTCGATGAGATGCATAACTTTTTAATGATATTGTAACGAGATTTGATGCATGAATAATAAATATAATCTCACTTCTGAAGAGAACTCGGAAATGTTATGCTCCTCTATAAGCTCGATGGACTCGGGGACGGAGAGAGAATTCTTCAGAGAGTCTACTTCATCGAGAAAGGAAACTTCCACTATCTGTAATTAAAAACACTTGACAAGTTTCAATTGTTCTTATCTCCATTAAACTGTTTGACCCGTGACTCACGTGAAAGCCGCCCAACTTCATCCTCTCGGTGAGGGTAGTATTTTTTTGATAATCCTCTTTAGCGGCGATGACGGCCGCCACGGTCTCCACCAGCTTGGGGGCGATGCACCCGCCCAACTTCAACACGCGACATTTTACAGTCTCTTTGTCTTCTTTATTGGAGATGTGAATATAAAACAGAACGTTCTTGAGCGGAGCCGCCGTCGCCTCCATTTTTATTCTGTAAAACATTTTATTTATATTTATTTTTCACATAAATAACGAGACTTAATTCCCTCGGTACTTTCATCCGTATTACCTCGACGTCAGTCGTTCCACAAGTGAGCGTTTTTAAAGCGATTCTTTAACGCACCGCGAGCCCTCTGGCATTGAGTGTCCATGGGCGACGGTATCACTTAACATCGAGTGAACCTCCTGCCCGTTTGTCCCCTGTTCTATAAAAAAAAGAGTATTACCGTTTCGGAAGGGAAGGTTGGAAGTCGTCCGAAGGTTCATCGTCAAAGATCCTTACGCCGATACTGGGCTCGTAATCTTTGAGAGCAGAGTAATGCTTTAACTCGTCGGGTACAGTCAGAAGATCCCTCTGCGGTGATTTGGTCGTATATGTGCACAGAATATATTCACTAATGAAACCTGAAAATCATTCATTATCATATAATAATAATGTAGTGAAAATCATACAATTTTAATAACTATAAAGTGAATTGGCCAGTGGCAATATAGCTTTTCATGAAATGCTTAAAAAGAATGAAGTGATTAATTTGGTGTTTGATTTACACTTTATATTAATAATATACAAACCTGAACATTCATAGCGGAACGTCGTTAACTTAAGTTGTCCGTTACATTTGGGGCACGGTTGTAGAGCTCCGAAGACCATGCAGTCCGCTAACAGATCTAGAGGCTGAAACATCATTCATTTGAAGTTCAATAATGTTGCTAAAAATGACCAATTCTTTGAGGATATCTCAAAAGACTTTTATTTTGTAATAACTGTACTCAAATATAATTATTTACCTCTTCTGTTCCTTTAAACATGTAAAGGTTATTCCGTTTACATATGATCTTTAAATCTTTTTTCGATAAAGTTCTCAAACAAGATTTGTATTTGTGAAACAGGTCGCTTTGTAGCCTCACAGCCTCACTTTCTAATTCAAACGATGTTTCAGTTTTAATCTTGTTTATATTTTCTTTGTTTTGTTCATCTTCATATTTAATTTGCTCGCCAAGCTTGGTACACTTCGATGAGGAAGGTCCGAACTCTGTATGAGGTGGGACTATGTTATCTTGCCTATAACAAATTTATGGTTTTACCAAGGTCATCTCGAGCGAAGGGCCAACAACAGTAATAACTGCTGATTAGGCTATGGCATATGTTTATTTTACTTAAGTCATGATAATATATGAAAGGTTACCCCTTCCCATGAGCGTCAAAAGCAGTACAAATTAAACATTTAATACTAAACAATATTATAGTCTAGATATGAAAGTTGTGGAAAAGTGATTTAAATGTTAAACTTAATCACACGCACTCACCATCAAGACTGTTGTATCACAATACTATAATAAATATGTGTAAAGATTGCTTTAAAGTGTAATTAAAGCAATATTTATTTTTTCCTTTTTTTCATTAGGACCAACAAAATCAGAACAGTTACCGATCCACCACCCAATATTGTATATGAAAATCCAATACCAACTCTATACTGAAATCTTCTTAAATATATACATACCTAATATAACTTTTAACAATTTCCTGATTTTTATTTGTTAAAATCTCAAAGCCTGGCATATATTCACCACTTCCTGGAAAATTAAATTCATTCCTGACATTTGCAAAACATTTCACATGATAGTAATGCTTAATTTCACCACGTTTTTCCTCATATTGAATTTTAGAAATCCGCAACTCTTTCTGAAAAAAAGAGCAATATCATTATCATCACTTTGTGATAATGTAATACAAGAAATATATAGATTGACAGTTTTGTAGATACATGCCTTTACAATTTGAATATTGCAGAGTCTGCACCTGGCACTAGAATTGTTACTCTCTTCTACACCATATTCAGAAATAATGGCTTTATCTCTTTCATTAAGTACCAGGCCCAAAATGTCAAAAACAGAAGCAGGGAAATCTTCTGATGGATCAACTGTAAATACCATTATTTATACATTACTTTGGGGATACTGATACTAAGCTAATGAAAAGAAATGGGTTGTAATTGATGTAATAACATTACCTAGTTTTTCCTTTATTCTTAGTTTGTCATCAGGTTTAAGTGAGTTATAATCTTTAAATTGTTGGATTGTTCCTAAACGCTTTCCATTCTTAAAGAAACATATTTCATGGCGCCATAATGGTATATAATAATCTTGTGGCTAAAAAAACTATACCTTTAAATTATGGAACAAAATGTGAGGTCAAATTATTTAGCAGCATGCCTTACCCATCATAAACATTTGTATATGTAGTTGTAAAATGTTAACATTCAAATAAACTAAGTACACATTGGTTGTGTACAGTATGCATAACCAGTGGTGGCAACTTAGGGGTTTCACCCAAAACATTGGGGTTTTAGATTCTATTTTGCTACACAGCAGCTATTTTATACTACTTGAATAGATTGATAATTCATAATTGAAATTACCTCTAAAACCGAGTATAACAAAAACTTTAGTGGGGTTAACCTAGGGGAAACCTATATTATCATGTGTCAACTTCGTGTTGTTTATGGTAGTTGTCGGTCCCTTAAGGGATTCAGGAATGAGATTAGGACTCTAATCTCATTCCTGAATCTCACACTATAGCCAAGTCATATGAGGGGTTTCACCTTGGAATGAAAGATAATAAGCTGTAAACTGCTGTTGGTTGTTTTGTTGTTCTAAATGTTGTCACAAAAGTCACAAGTGCTATCATGTCGACGTTTTAAGATATTGAAGGTCTAAGGTCATAAAAATCGGTTTTTCGTGAATTTCTCGTTTTCTATTGCTTAAATGAGATTTCTCTACAACTTTTGTATGAACTTTTTTTTTCATATGATAAACCGTTTTTGCGGTAGACCGCAAAGAGTGCGCCGCGTACAGTTATATATGGCCTAATGTAAGGTCAAGCGGTTATCAGTACATTGTATTTTATGTGCTAATTATTTATGTTTAATTAAAATAGGTGACTTAATTACTTACTAATATACTATATATTAATAATTCTGGAATGTATATTTTAGTTATAATTTAAGTTAAAAAGACAGTAAGGGAATATATTTTATACATATTAAGTACATTTATTTATCATTAAATATAGCATAGTATACATTTATTGAAATATGAGTTCAAATAATTAAAATATTTTTTGTTGATTTTAATTATAATAAAATTGTAAATGGAAGCTAGTTATCTTCTTATTTGTCGTCTTCTTGTTGTGGCTCCAAAACGATCAATTAATTGACGTCATGTTATGCGCTTTCTTTATCGACAAAGGTTTACAGCTTCATTCCGAGGTTGACCCCTTCTTTTACCTAATATGACTGGGCTACTAAGGAAGTTAGTAGCTAGGGAAAGTATATATTTCACACTAGTGACGTTATTATAACAAAATATTTTTGGTTACGGCCTATATCCACGTCCAATGTCCATGCCTAGTTTTTACTTACCTTTATTAAAATTCCAATACGTAATTCACCTTTAGTAATATTTTCTTTGCATACTTTACATTCTGAATTTGACGATTTAGCATATTCAACTTGATAATTAAACATTGATAAGTATTTCAAAATTCGCTGCGCAAAATTGTTACAATCTCACATAAATCAAATAAAATAGACGGACGCGGACGACCACGACAGGCGAGGGGCAAGGAGTAAGGACTAAGGACTAATCACTAAGGACTTATGACACAGTACACACTCATAATAAATATCAATTATCAAACATGAAACATATCGACGTAGGAAAGCATATTTGCTGTAAGTAGACAAAATACCTAAAGTGACTTTTTCCTGCCATTAGAATCAGAAAAAAAAGCCGCATCGAATGACCTGGGTCCTGTGTCTCTACGATGAAAAACAAATTACATACGCCGTTGAAAACGCCCGTACTTATATTATTTTTAGCAAGATTAAATGCTGTATGTAGACCAAAATCTAGTCATTTCAGACATTTTGCACTTACAGCAAAAGAAAATCTGCATTTATTTCTTTACAAATACTTACTTCTTCCCATTTAAAAACTTAACGCTACTTACAGCATTTCAGCGGCGTGTGATTTTTACATTCGTTTACATACAGCAAGTTTAGGGAACCTACAGTTTTGGTTTTTTTTACCATTTATGACATTTTATTTCAACCAAACATTACATTACCAAATGACCCACTGCATTTCTAGATCTAATCATAATTATAAACTAATCTTACATCTTGAATTGCAATTAAAAGTACCCAAATACATAAATTTCCTGCATACAGCATATTTACCGCCTGTAAATTGATAATATTTCCGCGCGTACATTTTTCTTCCTTAGTTACAGCGTTTTAAAGGTTTGTGATTTAAAAAACTGTTTGCTGTAACTAGCCAAACACGTACTTATAGTAACTTTGGATAAAAAGTTTACATTGCAAATGGTGACTGGCAGTTAAATAAATATATGTTTCAAAAATGGTAGCAATATCATGGATAGGTCAGACACTATTAATTTTTTTCCGAAATTAATAAAGTTTTTTGGCTCTGGTGAACAATTGCAATATGTCTACTTACAGCAAATGTGCTTTCCTACGTCGATAATATGTTGCTCGTTCCCGCGCTTTCGAATTTAATTTGATGTGAGATGTCCACAGAACACTAATACTTCTAGCGAAGAAGAACAACAACTTCATGGTAAAAAAAATGCTTACACCAACGTTCCAGATAATGCCATCTGGTACTATAGTATTGTGCGAGAATTTAAAATGGTATGCAAGTACAGAATTTTAACTATTTCATGTAGAAAAATAAAACAAGGGAGTGTACATGGGTAATAATTTTATTAATCACTTAATAATTTTATTAATCACTTAATATGACACTTACGGTGTTCGTATGTTATGTGGTAAAGGTTAAAACAACGTAATTTTTGATTTTCGAACGATCAAACTTATGTACCCATTTATGGGTATCCATGCGGTAAGGGGTTAAATCGTCTTTTTTTTTGGAATTATAAGCCTGATATCTAGACCTTTAGGCCATAAATCGACATTTGTTGTCTAAAGTGGGCTATTCCAGCGAACAACAATACAATAGTCGAAATGGGGAGAATTTCGAGTGTTTTTAAATGCAAATATAGTAAGTCATGGTATTTGACTTACGGGACTCATGGTCCATGCTTGTGTCCCCCACATCCAAAAAGTAATCTCAGGATCTTCATGTCCTTGCATATTTAGGTTGCAAACTAAGCAATATGGAATCATTCAGAATTGTATAAATTAAAATGAATGTCCTTAAAACAAGAATGCACTTTAACAGAAACAGGTTTTGGTTGAAAACAATTGTTTTATTTTAAAAACATTAAGATATTACAAAAACTGATTATTCAAAAATTTAATAGCATAATTAGTAAATTCAGCACATCTTACATATTTAAAGAAAATTATGAATGACATTTTGTGTGAACAAAACAATCTGTCTGTACCCTGAAGTCATTAACAAAAACAATCATCGCTGCCACATAAACATTAACCAACTTAGAACTAAAGTAGAATCATAAATGCTAATGGCACATATAAACAGTAAAATTAATCGGAAACATCTTGGAGGCTACGGCTAACATTTTTAGTTTTTAGCGCAACAAACATATTAAAACATTAAAGAAACTATTCTCCTACAAACCTTATTCATAAAAATTTATTCAGTCATAACATGGATTTAACTGAAAAATATTATTCTATGAATGATTATTTGAATGAAACAATATTCATTTGATAACGTGATAATATATGCTATGTAAAATTGTACCGTTTAAGAAAAAATTGGACGCCATTATGTGTGGCAAAATATGAGAACTTTAAACTATACCACCATAACATTTTTTTACTATACTCTTGCAAATGATTTATTATTATTATCTTTTCTATTACGATGAAACAGGACATTGTTTTACTGAGTAAGACCGATTCTACTTCTATGAATAAGGGTTTATAAATTCAGTTCAAACACTAACTAGGTATCACATGCGTTTCGGTATCACCTTTAATCTTCCTTTTAATAATTAGGGAACAACAGCATTGTATAGGAAAATATAATCAATATTTGTAGTTGAACTTCACTTGCAGCAAGTACTTCGCGTTGACCTGGGCGACGTCGTATACGATGAATCTAGCATGGAGTCAAGGTAACTTACTGAGGTTCAACGCACTATATATATAACATATAATAAAAACAAGTTAAATCAGTGGCACTACAAACTTCTTAGACGCCTCAGATTTATTGTTTCTATTTCATGATCGTTTGTCAATCTAATAGGCAAGGTTGATCACCTTTTGGTTGGTCAACTTTTTGGGTCTAAGGCGAGCCCGGTTTCCTTGCGATGTTCCTTCAACGTTCGAGCGAATGTTAAATGCACACATAGACAGAAAGTTCATTATGCACAGCCGGAATCGAACCTACGACCTCAAGGATGAGAGTCCCACCCTGTAGCCACTAAGCCAATACTGCTCAAACATACAATGCTTTCAGCTTTAATCCAATCCAAATGGAACAGTTCTACAAAAACTGAATGAATTAATAAATTCGAATTTGCCGACATTAACATGTTTTAAAAGGATACTCGTTATAGAGTAATGATGTTTTTTCTTTTTTCTGAACAGACTTTCCCAGTGGCACAACAACGCCGTCGTCGAGTACTTTGTTCTGGGACGGATCGGGCTCGGTCTGGCCCATACCCCACACGGAGTGGGTGCCGGCCGGTAACTTCGTTATATACTCGGCTTGTTTGCACTTTTTCCTGTGAAAATTGTAACATTGTATTAAATACAGTAAAATAATAAAAATAAAGTCTGGTCAATGAGGGACGGTCTCACATGTCTCCCAACGCCACTTCGCTGAGTAGCATGAGGCCGACGGGGTTGTTGGTGTTGGTGCAGCAGTAGTTGGCCGACTTGGACACCATGTCGGCGAAGTATATGCCTTTGCCGAACATGTAACCCGTCACGGGGGCTTCGGGCGGCGCTATGCGGAGACCTGCATCACACATTTTTTACAGAAAACCGTTATCCGAAAGTGGCCGGCACATTATGAAAGAAATCGCAAAGAATCGGTTACCTTGTGACAAAATGCCGGCAAAGTTAGTAGTCCTGGAGCCGTGCCATAGCAGACGTCTGTTGTGGAGCTTACGGAACGGCTTGTATCGCTTCGCTTCACCTTCGCGGTTCACTTTAAATACCTGTCAAAAGCAAAACAACTTGCTAAAGGATGGGGCTCTGAGATGATTACAAAATAAATGTCTTCCGTGGTCACCTCCTGCAATTCGAGGGTATAATTAGTGTGGGTGGCCGCGTGTGTGTTCTTTAAGTATTCAGCTATCATCTGATACTCTTCTTTACTCTTGTCCAGGAGCTCTAACTCCGTCTTTAACTTCTTGTAGTTTGATTCGATGGCACTCACGCCTTCCTCCTCATCTGGGGAAGAAGGATCTCACTGTATATTTTGATATTTTAATAAATAACGGAATTACAAAAATAGCGGTGTAGTTTAATTCGTATATTACTACTGTACTGATAAATGCCCAGAAGAACCGAGTACCGTTTCCCTGTTCATAACGGATATGTTAAGAAATCTAACTCAATTATGTAAAGCTGGTGAATTACCCGAGTTGAGAAGACTGTAGGCGATTTCGATTTCCATCAAGCTGTCCAGCATCTGAATCTTGTTCAAGACGGCCTCCTCGCTGTCCAGCAGCGGAGGATTGTCGAGGCCGAAACTATGCGGCACCAGCGTGTAAAATCTGTAACAAACCTTCAAAAGTCACTGACACCAATTTTTTTCGATTCGTCTCTGAGGAAATTGATATAATGGTATCGTAATAAAATATATATTTTTTATTTAATTACAATAATTAACAGCTTCAACATGATACATGGTTACAGGTGCTTACAAACATTTTGTAACAGAAAACCCTTGGCGAGTAAAAGCGTGACGCTCTTTTTGAGAACGGGCAGAAAATGTAAATTTATAATAAATGATATTTTGAATTTCCGTAGATTACCTGTTGGTCGAATCTACAATTTTGCTGTTACTTGCGTTACCCTTTTGAATGATCGTGAGGAGTTGGGACAACACGTTGTACCCGGACTTGATCTGTTTCTTCGAAAGCTTTCCCAGAGGCATCTTCTCCGTGTCGAGCTGAAAGAGGTCGAGGGCAGTTTTAGATACCGACGCTGGCGTAAACACACCACGAAAAGGCCCTTTCATACGAGACGGTCACCTCGAACTCTAGCAGCGTTCTCTTCATGGTGTCAATGTCGAATATCATCTGCACGAGGTTCTGGACGGGCAGAGCGAGACCGCACTTCGTGTCCACTTTCAGCTCTCTCTTTTCTTTCTTCGCATTGTCCCCGTCGCCGTAGTCCACCTCGATCGGGTAGTACGCGCCCGGCATCTGCGTACACATTATATACGATAAACGATATTAAGACAATATTTTCTACTATTCCCTCGTGAGCATGCAGCTTTACGATGTCGGAGGAGAAATGACGACGGCCGTCAACGGCTTACCTTCATGAAATCGTCGCGCATCTCCCAAGGATTTTCAGTTCTCTCCATGTACATGTCTTCGAACTTGCGGACGGCGTCTTGAAGAGATTTGCAATTCTCGACCTTGTTGCCGCCGATCGGTGTGCCGATTCTACCCCACGAACGGAAGAACCAGAATCTACGCAACGATTGGACACAATTTAATATTATTTTCTGCTCTCATAAACGTGATTTATGTTTATGAGTATTGGGCACGCGGTGAGTGATGTTAATTTAAAACAAAAACGAAAAAAACTGTGTCGTGAACTTTAATTCATAAAAAAAAATATTTTACTAGATAATATATGAAACATGTTTACAAAGAAAGAATAATCATAGTAGGACTAAACAAAAAACACACTTGGCAAACTGTTTTTTTTCTAAATAATAATAATAATTAGGTAATTGGCAAATGGAAACAAAATAATACGAAGTTCCAGTGATTTAGATATGTTTACTCTTTAGCTAAAGTACAGATTTCCTTATTACGCCTCAGGAATCGACAAAACTAGTACTAAATAAAAAAATATTTAAACAATTGTTCGTTTAAAACTGCGACCACCCGAATCGACAACTAATCTTTTAAAATTAAACGAATACCACTCAACTAAACCAAACAGTTGCTTCCGCATCACGTTTTGTGTTAAGGATTTGATGTCGCATAGCATAATATAGAATATAGCGTGAGAGTACTCACTTCTTCTTGTTATCAGCCTCCAAGACCTGCATCTTATAATACGAGTTCTTGCCGGCGACGACGTCCGTCTTCGCGAGTATAACCGTATATTTGGCCCCTTCGGGGTCCACGTACACGTGAGCTTCGTCGGACAGACCCGAGTCGGGGTCGACGGCCGTCCCACCTGCGCGAACCGATCGAACGGTGATTTACGAAATTGATATCTACGAAAATCGGAAAAGAATTCAGAAAATAGAAATACCTTTGATTTTCAGTTTAGTGACACCGGACGACTTCACGTAGTTGCTGCCGGACTTTTGAATGGACTTCCCGTCGATCACGTCTTGGGGAACGCGCTTCGTAGGCTGTCATACAAGTCATATAAGAATAATTCGCAAATTTATACTTTCGTTACTGTCGTAAAAACTATTGATAAATTACGTACAAAATTCGTCATAGTCGTAGAATAGTGACGGATCTGAGAAATAGTAAACTTTGCAGGGCAGCCATTTCAAAATAATATCATCATGTTAGTTTTTATCATAACTATTTTAATTCATATTCTGTTATTATGAAAATTGGCATACAAGCAAACAAGAGGATTTGTTTTACAACAAAATAAAAATAATAACATCAAATTACACAGTTTTCTAGAAAAAACACATGTTTCTATCAAATCCGTCACTTTACCGACTGATTAATTTGAAATTTAAAATATGGATTTTTTTAATGTAGCCGTAATATTTAAATGTAGTATCCAAATATGTTAAAAAGTGGATTTTGGATTTTTTCAAATCCGACATTGTTCTAAGATCATGACGATCAATGTTGAGTAAGGGCTACTTACATCCGATCCCCAAGGCGCAATATTGTTTTGTTTGATGAGGTCCAGCGTTTGGGAAACGGAACCACTTTTTGAATCGATCAAATCGAAAAACTCTTCGTTCACGACCTGCAAATTATCTCCATTGAAAATTGGACGATTTGATTAATAATTCAACGAGTAGTCCAAACGAGACGAGTCTCACTTCGATGTCTTCGGCTTGGATGGACTCCATCTTGGCGGCCATTTTCTCCACCTCTTTCTCCGTGGACACGACCGCGGCCAGCGTGTCGGTCACTCTGCTCGTGACCAGACCTCCCATTTTTAAAATGCGCTTTTTAATTTCCTCCTTGTCCCCCTTGAATTTTCCATACATGAAAAACTGGAGATTCTTCAGCGGTGGAATGGGGAATTTCTTCTCACTAAAAATAGATAAACAGTGATGTTTTAGTATAATTTTGTGATGAGGGTATTTTTCTTTTTCCTTTTTTATAGTATTATTATATTGGATTTCGTATCTCCCAAGGAAGTCCCCCGCCGGGAGTAGATACCACACTTCGCAAAAGAAAGTGTCTTGTGAAGCGGACCGTGGAAGACTTCCAGCCATCGAGGTGATGCTGATGAAATTATAAACATTTGGAAAAAAAAAATTGGTGTACTAATAATAATCTTTGAATATGAGACAGCCTTAACAGATAGTGACAGTGTACAAATAACAGAACACAGTTACCCTTGCGGTTCCTCCTTCTTGACGACGATGGCCGGAGGAGGAGCAAGCTCAAACAATCGCTCACCCACTTTTGGTTTGTAGGACTTAAACACTGATCCTTTTTTGTAACTCGAGGGCACTTTCATCGGTTTCCGTTTCGGTGTCCTCGTTGTGTAGCTACACTTGGTCCATTCGCTTATATTACCTTCGAATCAATTGGACGTATCCAAAATGGTTATTTATATCCATGGTACCGGAGAATAAAAGACAGACTCATTGAAATTATATGATGTCGATCTTGTAATGAGGAATCCGAGTTCCAGTAATCAAGAAATAAAAAATGTCACGATAAAGGGATGGCTCGAAGTTAACTTCACGGATAAAATCTATATTACCTGTGCATCTATAATTGAAAGTGTCCAAAATAAGCTGGCCCTGTTTGCATTCAGGACAAGGTTCCAGAGCCCCAAATGCCATCATGTCCGCCAAGTGGTCCAAGCACTGGGAACAAGCGTAATATTATTCTCAAGTCATCAAGTATTTCTTATATCTGAGTGAGTACAAGAGCCATCTTTGGTTTAAAATGTTATATTATGTTGAATTCACCTCATCTGGACCTTTTAGTATCTCCTGTGAATTAGCTTCAAGCAGTTCGTGCAAATCACTTCTGCCAAGTTCACTGAGGCGGCCTCGGTACTTGTGAAATGAGTCATTTTGCTTACATAAGTCTTTTTCTAATTTTTTTTCCTTCTTTATTTCTTCTTCATCTTTAGGTTCTGATTTTAATTTCTTTATTGGACCTCCATCGGGACTTATAGGTCTATAGAAATAAGTTATATAAGATATAAGTCAGAATGTGGTCAATGGCAAATGGAATTAATTGTTAACAAATGATGATTAGTACATACTTAATTTCTTTCTTAACCATGGCTTGATCTTCCTTCTGGAGTTGCTTAAATCCTGGTATGTCCTCTCCTCCAGCCAGGAATAAAAACTCGGCCTGTCTTTCGGCAAAGCACTTTACATGATGCCAAGCCGGTGCATCACCATATCGGGGATCAAATTCCATTTTAGAAATTCTTACTTCATCCTATTTACAAAATGTTAAATTGTATTGTGTTGATTTTAACAAAGAACTTTGTCCGTAAAATCTTTCAAAATTAAAACACATATGCACATATGTTGTATGTCCTAGATATATTAATAATATACTTAATTTGTTAAGACCACCAACATTATACAGTTTAGTTTCATAATAAAATTTACCTTGCAAATTTTAATGTCACACTGTTTGCAAGTAGCTCTACTTGACTTAGCATATTCCACTGAGAAATTAGAAATACCAGGTTGTAATTTTTCTTCTTTTCTTTTTGTACCCTTTCCTTTTTTACCCTTTTCTACTGGCATAACAGCACCACATGAATTAGCTGTAAGAAGTATGATATTACACACATTTTTATTAATATATATATACATTAACTTTGTAGCTGGTAATAGTAAGTAATATTATAATATTAATGTGGCAAAATTCACACTAAGTATGCATAAATATAGGCACTAAACAATAAAAACCTTATTTCCTCCATAGTTTATAGACTTACTTTTTATTTTACTGTGTGTTACTAATGAGCATTATAATAAATAAAAACCTCTATATTATCTTACCCAGTAGTTCTTTGATTCTTTTCTGATCTTCATTCTTTAGTTTATTAAAATTGCCTATTTCTTGAATGGTTGGACATTTTTTCTTAAACAAACATTTTTCATGGTGCCAATTTGGTTGTTTTCCATCATGAAATGCTGACTGCAATATAATAAAGTTTGTTTAAAACAAAATAAAATTAATTTTAAAAATTCTAAGTTGAAGATATAGTTGACCATGAGGATTGCGTTGTAGGTACGCATAATTTTATATTGAATGCATTAGATACTGTGTTTAACTTGAAATACCCCTCGAATACAAACCTGCACCATTACAGCAATACGTAATGATCCTTGATCAATTTTCTCTTTGCAACCTTTACAAGCCGCTCGACCGGACTTTGCATATTCGGCTTGATACGGTAATTCATTCATTTTCGAATGATTAGTTATCGAAGTTCAAATTATACACTTACAAGACTCTCAACGTGCTGCAATTGAAAAATATAAACAAAATTAAAAACAGTTCCCAACGTTCACCGGTTTGCAATTTGTATATCAGACCAGAGTATACAATATACATAGTAAGGAAAAATAGATAAAACATAATAGTCTTTTGTCAAAAGCTCCATAAACACTAAACTTTAAAACATACATAATCTTCAATTTTGTGCCCTCCTAAAAATTTTAATTTCTATGATTTAGCAGTTAAAACATAGTGAATACGACAAGATTTAACAAGTATTTTATTTACTTTGAAGTAAACAATTTCATTACTGAATACCTACTACCTAGTGCCTACTGCCTACACCATGCGCGAAATATACGCGCCAAACTACTAGCATAGGCCATAGAGTAATGAATGATTCTTAATTCTTATAACTAGTCTATAGCCGTTTGTCCACCTCCGCTGTCACCGGGATGTCACCGAGAACGAGATGACGGTGCCGATTTAGCGATACATAGTACATATTAAGAGCGCGGACACACGATGCGTTAACAGTGCGGTGCGTCGCCGCAACGTCATCCTACATACAAATTACTATACCATGTGCGTTTTCCAATTACAGCACTAGAGCGCATTATGCGGCATAATGCTCAACGTTGAATGTTCCAACTACAGCAAAGCTTCGCACAATTGAGCACTCTCAAAACTAATGCTCTCGCGTGCTTCTCGCAATCAATACCAACACAGTGACAGAAAATTGACCAGTATTTTTCTTTAAGTTCGCATTTATCGAAATTTTCGTTAGTAAATATTATTTATTGTTGAAAAATTTGTAAGGCTTTCGTTTCGTCGTAGATTTTGAAAATAATTAAAGTTATTTCAAACTGCTAAAAAAAATAAATATAAGTATGGATGAAGGTACCGCCGTCGCCGGGGTCACCTGGCCGCGCCTGGCCCACGACAGACACGAGTGGAAACGGATGGAAGAGGCCTATGTCCAAAAAATTTTACTCAAAACGTAAATGATGTAAACTTCTTACATGAAACTAAATATTTTACTGTTAATTTAGCTTGTTAAAACCTTATATTCTTTAAAGGTTTTCTCTTATTTCAGTAAAAAAATGTTGATGAAATAATTTGATTATTAAAATAAGCGTAAAATTGGCGTTTTACGTTTTGACCACTTTGACCTCAAATATCTCCTCTTTGGTTAAGAATTCCAAATTAAAATTTTTACTCATGTATTTGTGCTTCGATGACCGTCATTCATTTGTTTTTTTCTTCCATTTTTTTCTGTTTGCGTCACTTATTTTACAAAATGGAAAACATAAAGTATCGCATTATTTACGAGTACGAGTTCCGCCGTGGCATTAGTGCTGCGGAAACGACTCGAAGGGTGAATGATGTGGAATGTGTATGGCGGTTATCTTGCAAAAGAAAACACAGTTCGTTTTTGGTTCCAACGTTTTCGTTCTGGAAATTTCGACCTGCAGAACAAGCCCCGTGGACGGCCTGAGACCCAAGTTGATAATGAAGTATTGAAGGCTATTGTGGAAGCGGATCCATCGCAAACCACGTCCGAGTTAGCTGCAGGCTGCGGTGTTAGTGATAAAACTGTTTTAATTCACTTGAAGCAAATTGGGAAGATTAAAAATCTTGAAAGATGGGCACCTCACGAATTGACTGAAGCAAACCGGCAAACGCACGTCGACTTCTGCGTTACATTACTGAACCGGCACAATAATGAAGGTATTTTAAACCGAATCATTACCTGTGATGAAAAATGGATTCTTTACGATAATTGGAAGCGCTCAGCGCAATGGTTGGAACCTGGCCAGCCAGCCAAATCCTGCCCCAAGCGAAAATTAACCCCAAAAAAGTTACTTGTAAGCGTTTGGTGGACTAGTGCCGGTATTGTTCATTGCAGTTTTCTCAAATCAGGCCAGACTATTACGGCTGATGTCTATTGTCAGCAATTGCAAACCATGATAGAAAAGCTAGCGGCTAAATAACCTAGGCTGGTCAATCGCTCCACGCCACTGCTACTTCACGATAACGCTAGACCACACACTGCACAACAGACGGCTACGAAATTAGAAGAGCTTCAATTAGAATGTCTAAAGGTGCGCTTACACCGAGGGCAATAATTGCTCGGCGACACAAATGGACCGATCTGGAGAAATTAATGGAGCAATCTCAATAAATTCAATAAATTGCAATAAATTATTTCGGCGATATTGCTTCTAATTGCTCCAGATATTTCATATCGTTCAATGTCGCAGATACGAATTGACGAATATTCAATGGACTTGGAAATTCCTAGCAATTTTTGTTTATGTCTCATTCGCACTTGTTTGTTTTGCGGCTTGCCGTCTTGCTTCCGCGGAGAGAGCGAGAGGTCTAAATAATAATAATTTCTAATTACTTTATTCAAAAATAATTCAAAGTCTGTTCGTGACATTCTAGTAAAGTTTTTGAATAATATATCATCTTTACATAATGAAAATTTTGTCCTATTTGCCAAAAACGATCACACCCAGATACGCCTAATCCTTTTCTTTCTTTGATTAATGATAAAAAAAGCGCTACAAGCCGCCGCAGCAAGAACAATGTCGTCCATAGCGAGCGAAAACTGTAATACTCGTGTATGACAGTATTGCCTAGTTGATGAAGTTGCGCCATATCGCTCAATATTGTATTGCGCAGTATTGATGCTTGTTGCCGTTGCCGTAAATTGCTTGATGTAGTCGTGACGTCATAATTGACGAGTATTGACTGGAATTGAGCAATTTTAGTTGCCCGTGTAAGCGCACCTTAAGACATCCTCCGTACTCCCCGGACCTTGCTCAAACAGATTACCATTTTTTTCGAAATTTGGACAACTTCTTGCAAGGGAAAAAATTTAACTCTGATGGGGCAGTCCAAATCGCCTTCACAGATTTTATTGATTCCCGTCCGACTGGTTTTTTTTAGTAAAGGGATCAATGAACTACCTATGAGATGGCAAAAGTGCATAGAAAACAATGGTTCATACTTTGATTAATTAAATATATTATATTTAAAAATATTCGACTTTTTGTTCCTCCCATACAAAACGCCAATTTCATATGTAAGGACCTAATATTTTGAGATTAATCTTTATTTATTCTCAAATACGTAACTGAGAAAGAATAGTGTGTTTTTTCCTCCAAAATAAACGCAGGATCCTCAACCAGTCCAATCAGTAACTGACGTCGACCACATATTAATTTTTTCGAAGTTAGAACTGCAAAATTGCTTAATTTAACAAATACAAGCCCTAGCATAATTAAATTAAGTCTCTATTTGGGACAGGAGAGACGACCGTCGACCTTCTTTGTAGTTCAGATTCTCGGCCAAGACTGCCCGATTGCGTGGAGTGTCCAGTGTGGACGATAGGTACATGCCACTTGGTTGTTGCCTGTTGCGGACGGGAATCAATAAAATCTGTGAAGGCGATTTGGACTGCCCCGTCAGAGTTAAATGTTTTCCCATGCAAGAAGTTGACCAAATTTCGCAAAAAATGGTAATCTGTTGGAGCAAGGTCCAGGGAGTACGGAGGATGTCTTAGACATTCCAATTGAAGCTCTTCTAATTTGGCAGCCGTCTGTTGTGCAGTGTGTGGTCTAGGGTTGTCGTGAAGTAGCAGTGGCGTGGAGCAATTGGCCAGCCTAGGTTGTTTAGCCGCTAGCTTTTCCATCATGGTTTGCAATTACTGACAATAGACATCAGCCGTAATAGTCTGGCCAGATTTGAGAAAACTGCAATGAACAATACCGGCACTAGTCCACCAAACGCTTACAAGTAACTTTTTTGGGGTTAATTTTCGCTTGGGGCAGGATTTAGCTGGCTGGCCAGGATCCAACCATTGCGCTGAGCGCTTTCGATTATCGTAAAGAATCCATTTTTCATCACAGGTAATGATTCGGTTTAAAATACCTTCATTATTGTGCCGGTTCAGTAATGTAACGCAGAAGTCGACGTGCGTTTGCCGGTTTGCTTCAGTCAATTCGTGAGGTGCCCATCTTTCAAGATTTTTAATCTTCCCAATTTGCTTCAAGTGAATTAAAACAGTTTTATCACTAACACCGCAGCCTGCAGCTAACTCGGACGTGGTTTGCGATGGATCCGCTTCCACAATAGCCTTAAATACTTCATTATCAACTTGGGTCTCAGGCCGTCCACGGGGCTTGTTCTGCAGGTCGAAATTTCCAGAACGAAAACGTTGGAACCAAAAATGAACTGTGTTTTATTTTGCAACATGACCGCCATACACATCATTCACCTTTCGAGTCGTTTCCGCAGCACTAGTGCCACGGCGGAACTCGTACTCGTAAATAATGCGATACTTTAAGTTTTCCATTTTGTAAAATGAGTGACGCAAACAGAAAAAAACAGAAGAAAAAACAAATGAATGACGGTCATCGAAGCACAAATACAGGAGTAAATAGCTGTACAAATTTGAATTTGGAATTCCTTACCAAAGAGGAGAACATCGTGATTAAAGTGCCCAGTACGAAATACGCCAATTTCATATGTAAGGACCTAATATAATAATTAATGTTCCAAGGTTAGCTTGTACTTATAGATTGTTATACTTTAACAACTACTTATTACATTATACACAAATTGAAGTTTCTCTTTTTAAATAAGTGGTGTACCGTGTAGGTGGGTACACGAGTTTCAACTGACTTCAAAAAAACCGAACCAGTTTCAAAATTGGACATATATTTTTTGATTATGATTAATATATTTAATTAAATCTAAATGGTGCAATTTAATAAGATAAAATCTATTATTTATAGATATCATTACATAGCTCTGAAACCAACCATTGCATTATGATCACAATTTTAAAACCGTATAAATTAACGCGACGTTGTGTACCTAGCTCATCTGTTTAAGTTTTAACTAAAAGGAAAAGAGACGGCTGTTCGACTGTCTTTGATCAAATTCTTTATGGTACATCTAGTTCATTTAGATCGCTGTCTTTTGCGCAGTCAGTTAAAATAAAACACCCAGCTGTTACAATATATTATTTTATATTATTCAACACACTAACACAAAAAAATACGAAAATTAATCACGAACAAGTTACAGTTTAGAACATAAAGTTGTTCTTAGACATGGAATTCTCCGCCATCTCTTTTTTCATCTGATAAAGATTTAAGAATACTAGTTGATGTACTTTGGGAGAGCCACACAAGACTTATAAACAGTCCCTCTATAATTCCTAAGCCAATGCCTGCAAATATGTCCAAAAAGTAATGTCTTTCAATAAGGACTCTAGATACTGCTACAGAAGTAACCCAGGCCATCAAAGGCGGATAAAAGATAAATGAGACGGGGTCTACACATATCAGTATAAATGCAACTAAAACAGAGCGACTTGCATGACCAGAAGGAAATGAGTACTTGTCTGGATTTCCTGGTATCAGTTTATTCATTGGTATTGGTCTTCTTCTCCTCACAAATGCTTTTATTATTGCTATCACCACAATATCAAGTAGGAGAGCTGAAATATAAATCACTGATATTAAGGGCAGATACTAAGCTTTTATTATATTGTTACAATTCAGAAATCTGATATAATCTTTGAACCCAAATTAAAAAAAAATATATTTTTACCTATAAGCATGTTAACCTGTAGTTGATACAATTCACTATTATTGAATAACCATATGAATGTGAGCCAACCTGCAAGCCAGACTACTCCATGACATGATACCTGTAAAAAACAGGATATCATTTAATCATTACTCAAACAAACCTAATACACAAATACTGTTATAAGTGTATAAAAGTGATAGCAGCCAAGGTTACAGAACATAGTTAGGTATGATTTTATTTAATTCTATAAACTTAAGCACATTACCTCTAATAATTTAGAATGATTTCCAAGTGATCTTAGGGCAGTTACTTTTTGAGCATTTTCGACAAATTTCTTGGTAATTTGTACATCATATCTTAATATTTTTTGTAACATTTCTGGAACTTTTCTTTTATCTTCGTCCCCAAGCTAAAAAATGCAATATTGAGGCTTATTAAATTCTTAGTTTAGTTATCATTTTCTAAAATAATATTGAAATACAAAAATATCTTACCATATCCATGCTCAGAATCTGGTTACTAGAATGGATATTTGATGGAGAATTGGATTTGGATGTTGTAAAAGCTGCATGCAAAGAAAATATTATTATTTATAATATGCAGTATGATTGCTTATTTTAGTAAGGCTTTCAGTTGCAAATTTAGATCATTAACTAAGCAATACACAAAGGTAAAGTGCCGTGTAAAGATAAATAAATCAGTTACTACGATATATTTTTATTCAATTTAACCTATTAAAATAATATTAGGTTTTATAATTATATTACCTCCGTTTTCAAAGAACGTTAGACTTATTTATGTCTTAAAAGTTAATATATCCCGGCACCGACCACCAACTAAAAAAGTAAAGTAGATTCCATTCGAATTACCATTAATAATTTAATAATTGAATTGATATAAATTTTACAAACGTCGGAATGACAATGACGCCGATGACGAATAATTAATTATGAATACGAATTACGAAGTATGATTTATGATGTGTGGTGATTTTTTTTTTGGAGTTTATGGCCTGGTATCTAGACCTTTAGGCCAAGTGATGTGAATTAGAAAAAAAATGACTGATGAATCTATGCACGTCAAAAAGCTGTGTCGTGTTTTAATTCATGCGGTAGTTTTTTTTGGTCTAGTATCGTCGTTGTTGATAAAACAATAATATCGAGTAATAATTACTATCTTTTTAATATTTAGGGATGTTTGTAATGTAAATCAAACATTTGAAGCCGGCTCCAACTTCTCGTGAGTGATCCACACTCGCGCTATATTTAGTTAAGTCCTTATCGGGTAACTCATCTCTTGTTTCAATTTATTTGGTATGTGTTGCGCTGGCTTATAAGAGTTTCTATGCTTTTTCTAATCTTATACTAAGATTAAGACACGAAACTTAGCAATAAGTCTTACTCGCATCTTTTTAATATTTAGGGATGTTTGCTTCAGAGTTATTTGGTTGTGTTAAAATAAAACTCCCTAATTGTTTTTTTAAAAGGAATCTCGCTGTTGGCCTTAAGGGCCTTTACAGCTCAGCTCGGGCTGTTTTGACGAGCGTAGCTGCGTAGCGTAGCGGCCTGAATGGGCGGTTTTCCTGCGACTAGCGCAAGGGCGTCTCCTGTGAGACTCGAACCTCGGCTTGGGCCGTCGCGGGTGGTCAATCGCCTGAAGTGCAGGACGGAAGCTCACTGGAGTGAGCGAAGTACGAAGTAAAGGTCCTCGCCTTCAAGCCTTTTATTTTCAAAACTATGTACATTTATACCCAAAAATTATCCTACACTTACTACTAGTAATAACATGTGGTGCCAGGGTGCGTAGGCGATGAAAACGCAGCGCGGCAAAAAGTTGGCCCTTTTCTGCGCGCAGCAGCGTTGCCTCGCATGCGGCATTACCTCGCTCTGAGGCGTTCCATTTAAGGCTTGAAGTGCAAGTACAGACAATCGATTTTTTAAATTAATAAATAACGTAAAAACTCACAACAATACAATGTGTTTGTAACATGTCATGTAATTAAAAAAAATGTATGCAAATCAAACGTTTAAAGCCGGCTCCAACTTCTCGCGAGTGATCCACACTCGCGCTATATTTAGTTAAGTCCTTATCGGGTAACTCATCTCTTGTTTCAATTTATTTGGTATGTGTTGCGCTGGCTTATAAGAGTTTCTATGCTTTTTCTAATCTTATACTAAGATTAAGACACGAAACTTAGCAATAAGTCTTACTCGCATACGCCAAAAATACACAAAGTACAAACTACAAGCGTACAAAGTACTAATGTGAATACTATCCAATCCTAAGGGGAAAATCTAATTATATCTGTGTAATTTACTTTACACAGATGAAGTAGAGGTTAAGACAAATATTTTATATTACCTACTCCATGATTCTAACAAGTAACAACGGCTTTTCACGATTTTCTGTATTAAGTTCTATGTTGAAGATTGGTGTTCTATGTAATGTGTGTTTTTGTTATTGATTTGTTATTATCCTACCTTAAGGGACGGCTTGCATCAAGTTACATTTTATAGGCCATTTTCGTGATATTGCCTGGTGAGTAGTAATAAAACAGTGAGGAATCAAATATACTGAATTTTATCTGCTTTTTTAATAATCAGGTTGTCTTTATTGGACAATTTTAATATTATTAAAAAAATATTCGTAGATACCCACTTGGTACACAATGAGCCAAAAAGAAAGAATAAAGAAAGCTTTGGGAATCTCTGTATATCCATGGAGTTCTGGTATGTTTTTAATAATTATTTAAGTATAAATATATAGTGGGCCTGGACAATGCGAGGCAACAACCCAATAATTGCTTTGTAATACATAAAGTGTGAGACAGCAGTGTGAAATCATTTTGGGTAGAGCCAGAATTGAGTTACAGTGCAAACTTTGACTCTTGTATCAAAATACTACATGGGTTTACATACAGAAGTCATACTCAGGTAAGATTCCAATAAGTAGGTGAGATAGATTTAGATTTATTATCATGATTTATGATTTCTTATGTGCAAAGAAGCAAAAGTAAATAGTTTACATTCAAATCCAATTCTATTCTCACAGTTAGGACTTAGCCATGAGCCTCAACTGTAACCAGAGGGGGAGGGGTCATTTGGATTATAGCAGCTCTTAGAGCAACAGAGGTGTTTCCATATATATATTTATTATACAATAAACGTTTTACAGTTAAGTTAGTAAGTTATAACTATACATAACAACGTAGTTTGTCTAAAAATAAAAGCCTGGTTTGTGTGTAGTTTAAAGTTTATATAAAACACCTCATCATGTTTATTACTAGAAAAAATATTGGAGGTTTCCCATAATAACATTTTATTGTAACGTTTCCTTGACATAACATTATGTATAATATACAGAGTATGTTTTAAAATATAGATGAGGAGTCAAATTCTGATGAACCAGCTGCACAAGCAACTGAGCAAAGTGTTGAACAGATGGAAACTACAGATCAGGCTGGCACTAGTGCTGTTTGTAAGTGTTGCTAATAATTAATTATAAACCGTGTGTCGCATACCATTTTTCTTACATAATTACTTTCATTATACAGGTTTGGTTTTATAGTTTTTAATGTAGAGCCTTCTGTGTCTACTAATCTAATACCATTATTATTTAATAGAAAATTAAGCCTAGCTCTCTTAGGTATTATACTATGTGTGTTAGACTAAGATAACTCTTAAAAATTGTTGCTACACAATATATAATACAATTGTTGAACATAAAATATTGTTCAATTTAAGTACATATATTCTTATAGCACCAAATGAAACTCCAAGTAGCGCAGCTGCGGCAGATGCAAGGTCAGATCCAGAAAACCTCAGAAGGTTAAGAAATATATACTGGAAGATGCTAAATCTACCAAGGCATATGTTTGGCTCTCAGTATGTATCTTTAATATAATTTATTATGTGACCATTTTCTAGAAGGTTTTTAACTGATATAATAATCATTTTGGTCAATAATGTACAAAAGGGTAATTATAACACCATAAATGTTCCATTCTTGTAAAGGTCCTGGTGCCTAGGAATGCAAATTTGTTTTTAATAGAAAAATATATTTTTTTAAATAAGTATGTAGATAAGGAGTTTCTATATTATAAATAAACCAACACATGAAAATTGGAGAAACTAAGAAATGTTCAATGTCCTAATATGATGTTAATGAATTTCCAGGCAAATAAACAGACGTGATCTGGCCGAGATGCGACGTTTAGGCGCTCCGATATCAAGTATAGAGCGCGTGATCGCTATCAACAGAGTGTCCGATTGGAACAGATTGAGAAGAGGCCTCGCTTGTAAGTTCATGATTCTATGAAATATAATGTAGTAAAGCTAGTCACGTATGTCAGGCTAAACTATTACAACCTTTCAAACTCAAACTAACTTTATTCATATAGGTTAACAAGTAAACACACTTATGAACGTCAAAAAATTTACTACCAGTTTGCAAGTCAAGGGCGTAGAGCGGGAAAGAAGAACTGGCAAGAAACTTTCCGCCACTCTTTTTAATAGCTAAGTTTTGAGTCTAATAAACATTCTTATTAGACTCTGACTGGTTATACTGCTAATTCATATAATTGATTTTCCTAATACGATTTTAATCAGAATTTCTATATGTATATTTTATCTATTAGAGGTTACCAAATATTCTCCAAATTAAAGAAGGATATGATATGAACTCTGATCACTCACCAATCATAATCACTATTAACCCTAACCCTATAAAGCGAAGACTGAATTCAACTAGTGAGTGTGAATAAGTGAGTAAACGGACTTAAGAACTATTCCAGAGCTATACAATTAATCTTCAGAATTACGTAGAAATAATAGTACCTTTAAAGACTGAAGAATAACTAGAATTACTTAGTAAATAGGTTTGTAAAGAACATCCAGCAAGCTGCTGGCAATAATACTCGGAGAAACGAAAGAATAAAACATCTCAACAAACTCATTAAACAACTAAAGAGAGAGATTAAAAAACATAATGATCCCTTAATAAAACTTTATCTAAAACTTTAGAAAGCAATAACAGAGATGGCTGTGAAATGTGAAAAACTTACCACACATATTCCTTCCGTACGAGAGTGTGACGGGAAATGGGCTGCCAGTAACAAAAAATAAGTTACGAGGTTTACAGAACATTTACAAAATATATTTCAAATCGATGAATTCCTTGAGCTAAATATCCGTATGGCTAACCTAGAGAAGTTTTCGGTAAAATCTTTTTCTTTCAATGTTTCCAATATTTTCTTCAAGTTCCCAACGTTACGGAAGTTATAATGATAGCTAAGCCTGGAATCATTGCTACCTAACCTAACGCCTCAAGCATGTTTTCGACGAAAATCTTCTCATACCCGATTACCCATTTGGTTTTAATGACAAAATTTTTACCATAGAACAGGTTTATATACTTACAAATAATATTGAAAAAGCTCAAAAGCGCAAGACAATAGTCTGCTCTAGTCTTTCTGCACGGAGCAGTTATTTGACTAAGTGCGGGACCGAAGACTTGTCTATTAATTAAAGAAACTACTACCTCGATAATTCTCAAATATGTTTGAGACATATTTAACATTAATAATGTTTCAAGCATCATTGAATTAGTAAATAGCGTAGTGAACATTAGTGTTGAAAACTTAACACTTCCCTTTAATTAGGTCAAACTTCAATAAGTGATTTGTCTTAACTCTTAAGTTAGACTAGCTTGTAATTTCCTATGATTTTTCAGTGAAGACAAGGAAAGAAAGTTTACGAGGGCGTGCCGCACACAATCTACCTTACCTTTCAAATCACAACATAAAAAATGTTACGTTACCCATAAGGATATTGAAATTTACCCTTAACATGTAATATCAATTTTATTAAAAAATATTATATGTAGATAAATAAAATATATATATTGTTCACATCGGTCAATGCGGCCTCGAAGAAATAGAGATATTACTCAAATATATATTTTGTCTAATTTAGTAGTTTAGTATATATAGCAAAGCTATACTGAGCGTTTAGGATAAAAAAGATTTTGTTACAGCAAATTCTAATAATGCCGAAGAAGAAGAATCATCATCTGATGATACGCCTCAAGACAATACGACGGGTAAGTTTTAAAAAGTAAAAGAAATCTGAAATATTAGTCAGTTTCGAATGATATTTCGTTTAATCTAATATATAAAATTCTCGTGTCGCGGTGTTTGTAGTTAAACTCCTTCGAATCGGCTTGACCGATTCTCATGAAATTTTGTGTGCAAATTGGGTGTCTGAGAATCGGACAACATCTATTTTTCATTCCCCTAAATCTTAAGTGTAGTCCACCCCTAAATTATATTTTTTTTAATTTTTAGATAAATATTTTTTTTATTTTTTTTATAATACAGCATTAAAAAATACATACAATCCCTAATTTTCACCCCTCTACGATCAACCCCTATTTTTTTATTATAAATGATATACATGGCAAAACGACGTTTGCCAGGTCAGCTAGTATTTACGATATATTTTCGTTTTGGTGATTTTATCGTAAGAATGTCATTAGCTCGGATTGCATTTATTCATTACACGCAATAACGATCGAAGCCAATATCGAAATTATATTCCATGAAAACTCATAAAAAGTTATTTTGAAAAATGTTTCATGCATAAGACATTCAAGGAAGATTTTGGGACTTTTTCCAGCTCCGTCAACTTCTAGAATGACACGAAGAGGCGGGAGGCGCGTTATGCTCGCTGGGACGAGTCAACAAGGTTAGCGTTATCTATAACGTGCACGATTTAAATCAAATCTGCGAAATTAAAGTCGAATTTCGTCTGTAGCCTCGTCGAACGAACGCGAGCGGCCGGAGCGGCCTGCGTCTGCTCCCGGAACAGAAGGCTTTCAAAATCAAAGCAGCACTTTGGAAGCTAATGGTGTGTATTATCTTAGAGTCTCTTAAGATTTGACACTTTCCACTGACTTAATAAGTAGGGTCACACTGTGTAGTAGGGTGTACCCACACGAGGCCGATCACGTAGCAGTCTATGAAGTAAATATGTAATGAATGACATGTTTGCCCTACAATTTCTTCTTTGTGTCAAAAGAAAATGAAGCAGCACCGGCGGAAGGGCAAGCGGCGGCTCCTTCTCCGCAATCAGAAGAAGATCAATCGGATAATGAAGAAGAGAGCGATGACGGTATGTTCGGTGTAAATTGCTTTATCATAATTTAAAACAAAAGTTAATTTTCAAAAATATACGTAACACAGGCGAAAGAAGATCTCCGGAAGCCAATCCAGAGGAGGCGGCGGCCGAACCCCCGGCCAATGCGGGAACTGCTGAAACGGTTGAAAATGAACCGCGTCAGGCGAACGAGGAGGTTGTTCTTTTTAATACTTATTCGACGCGAAAAGCAGTTTATTGAATTTTATTTTAATAATAGCTAATTCCATAAACCTATAAGAGTTTGTTTTTCGTATTCTGTTCGAATATAGAAATATATTAAGAACACGAACACTTTCAATTTGTACTAAAAATTTACAGGAAAACGAAGAAGAGAATAATGCCAGTAATAATTCTGATGAAGAGCAACGCCGCCGACGCAAGAGGAGGCGGATAGGTAAGGAAAAAATTCACAATATATACTTATATTATAGTAGTTATATATATAAAAGAAAAATGGTCTTCGTCTCCTTCACGCCTAAACCACTGATCGTATCTATCATGAAACTACCACCATTCGATGCGAAATTTTTCCTAGATGGTTTATGGCTATTTATTTATTAAATTCCAACGTTCCTTCATTTTTTTATTGCTGTTTTACTTTTATGAAAATTTATCCATACGGACTTCACCGCGGAAACATTCGGGGAGGCTTCCTAGAACCTCTAAACGTCAACATCTGTTAAAAACTCGATTTTCGAAATATTTCAATTTTCTTAGCGGGAAGTTAAAAAGAAGAATAATAAAAATATGAAAAAAAAAAAAATAATGAAACATAAAATTTATTTTAATTCGTCCAGCAAAGCGGGCGCGAAACGGCTAGTAATATATATAGATATAGTAACAGACGAAACGAATTTTATCTTAAGGCTTTATGTGTCTAAACGTCGTATTGGTATGTTATCTAAAGCTGGCGGCTTCAACACATTTACACTTTGTGCTTGTGTAGTGTCTGTGAATAAGCGCGAGGCGTGATGTCAAACTGAAATACAATCACAAATACATAGTGAAAAGACTATCCGTCTCTCTCGCGCTCGGTCAAGCTTATGAGTATAAAAGAGACAGTTATTGTTTTGCTTTTGCTACTGTTTATGTTGATCTTTTATCAAACATTACCAGGACAATCTCGTGAAATGGTGCACAATGTTTTTAATTATTTTAAGCAGTTTAATGAAAAAATGTTATTTTTAATTTGACATCAGATGCGACTGGGGTTTCTAAGAGGTATATTGAAAGAATTGTTAGTGAAGTAAAAGTGAAGTGTGTTGAGCTAGATGGAGCTTATGTCGAAAAATGAAAAATTATTTACTCAAACTACTCTTTAACGTTCTTGGTCGGACTTAGAACTTTTGTATCCACCCTCGTATGCACATAATATTTATATGTATTTGACACATTTTTATTTATTTACAACCACCCAACCTTACTAAAACCAGAGTAGACTAAAATATATAGCTTGGCAAAAAAGTCATATTTTTAAACATACTGTATAGTGAAATTACATTAGTGTGAGTACTGTGAACGCGCCAGCTTTCGATAACCGACCTATAAATAAGATTATAAAATTATAAAAAAAATCTTGGATATTTTAGAGAAATATTCTTTAATTGCAGTGGGTCACGAGACCGCAATCGCTCTGAAGAAATTTAATGAGGTGGGTTCATAGTATTGTCTTTGATTAACATAACTTTTATTCATTTAATAAAACACTATTTTAAATTTAAAATTATGTTAAATAGTTGTAAATTTATAATAATACATAACTTCAATCCGGTCAAAATAGTGTTTTATTAGAGGTGGGTTCACTCAATTTTCATTTTTTATTGAATTTGTTTATACTTAGGCTCATTTCCTATTACATTTTTTCTCACAAACGATCGCGTTTAAATTCAAAGACTGCTCAGGGGAGGCATGCAATCGGTGGAGAAGTAACTCTTTCGTTTGCGCATTTGTATTTCAAGGATGAATTCAGAACGGGTCGCCTAAGACTTTGCTTATAAGTGTTTAGGCCGCCCGTTGCACTCGGCTCTGTGCCGAGATTATTTACCTTATATTTGTAAATAAATAACTAAAAGAAATCTTATGCACCTAACAAAATGACTCGATGTCGAGGTACCCTTCCAGTTAATAGATTTTTATATTTAAGATTTTCCTCAATAGAAGTTTCTACGCGTTCTGGAATGTCCGGTGTGCCTGGAGTGCATGGCTCCACCGCTGAGGCAGTGCGGCCGCGGACATTTACTGTGCTCGCGTTGTTGCTCCCGTCTCAACTCTTGCCCTCTCTGTCGCACGGGACTGTCGTCGGTGCGCAACCGGGCGATGGAGGCCGTCGCCGAGCTGTTGAAGTACCCGTGTCGCCACGGATGCGGACAGGAGAGGCGCTTGAAGCACCGCGAGGCCCACGAGGCGAATTGCTCCTCGCGGATCTACAAGTGCCCCGCCACGTCGTGCACCGAAGGCTCCTCCATGACTCTAGGGGACCTGCCGAGGCATCTGCAGGTACGCGGCGTCAGTTCGAAAAGTTACGCGACGCAACGATTTTGTTATCTGTCACCGTTATCGAATAACGAATCCCTCAGACGCGTCACCCGGCCATGGTGAAACGCAGTCCCCGGCACACGATGAGGGTCCCGATGAACCAGGAACACCGGGAGAACATGGTGCTCATGGTGGGGCCGGAGATGTTCCACCTCAGGCTGGACGTGGAGCAGCGGCGAGGACTCCACGTACACGTCGCGTACTTGGGGCCGGTCACGCGCGCGAAATACTTCGCTTACGAGGTGTGGCCGCCGACGGTTATTATAGATGTGGCCTCGCACCCGACTCTGGACTGATTTGCCCCACTTCCACAGGTGTCGGTGGACGGAGACGAAATGCGTAAACTCGTGTACACCCGCGTGACGCACAGCGACCTCGAGTGTTCGTCGGTGATCTTGCGCCGCGTTGATTGCTTCCACCTTCCCTTGGCCCAAGCCCCCAACTATTTGCGCTCTCAGCCCAGGGTGAGTCACCGTTCGTTACTTTCACCTAACTTTTTAGATTTCAATATACTAGCGAGTCAATTGTGTACAGAACAGCGAGGCGAACGCGGGACATTTGGAGCTCACCGTTCAAATACTGGTGAACGAGCAGAGGTGTACGAATCTCAACGAGCCGGGCTCCTGATTGGAGGGGATCGTGTACGTCAGCGAAGGACGTATTGTACGTTACGAGACGTGCCCCATAGTGGACTAACTTATTTGGACGTTTTAACTTGTGCTACGCGTAGGTGAATGCGTAAATGAGTAGGTAAATTAAGGCTCGATCCACACTATGATGCCATTCACGGTTCGATCTCGCGGCGGTCTCGGTCCCGTAAAATATTCTTAGATAAGAATGAATTTGAGTGTTCTCACTATTGTATCGATCGAAAAGAATATTTGACTGAAGCGAGATCGGACCTGTCATGACTTGTACCTACTGTGTGAATACAATTTTGTTTCAACTCCAGTCTCTTTTTGGTTGTGATGGTAGATGTTAAAAAAATGTTTATAGCCATGGCTAGTAAATATATAAATTTTATAAATTGTGGCATTTATAAAATTTGGTTATGAATAATACATACACACAGATCTTCCAAGACACAGCACACACACATTACACATAAAATGTACCTTAGGAGGCGTCCATAAATTACGTGAGGTGTTTTTTTTCAATGTCTCCCCCCCCTGGTGAGATTTTATTCAACCCCCTCCCCCACCCCCAATCTCACGTGAGATTTTTCAAAATGTGGGTTTCTTACGTAAACCCGTTGGATTGTTATTGTAAAAAGAAGAAAAAATTGCTTCGTGCAAATTCTATTTACGACTAGTAATCAATATTGCTGAGAGTTTAATTATAAGTGTAATAATAATTTATCGATAGAATACTTAAATCGTAACTACTGTGATAAAAAAAAAGAATATCTACTCTAATTCAGTCCATGGCGGATCATGCGCGATCTCAAGAGAGACTATTGGAACCAACATGTCCATATGATTTTCAGTAAAATCATCTGCTCCTTCAACTTTTTCTGATCTAGCCACTCTAAACCATTGGCACTTGCACACAGTAACTCATTAGCTTGTCTTGTGATAATCCGTGAGGGTCGCACTTTGCGTAACATACGCGCTTGCTTAGCTGGTGCAATGTGGGCTGATCGCCTGTGCTCTGCAGCTCTTTTAAAGTAAATACCGCATGTACTGCAGCATCTTTTCTCTAAATCATCACGTATACTTGGGCAATAGAGATCATAAGGCGTGCTGATGAAAACATTCAGCGGTTGAATCGGTAGGCAGTGGCGTATTAGAAATGGAACAAATGACTTTCCGTCATGCTCTTTAAAATCACCGAAATTTTACCAACCGCGTAAAAATCGGTTCATTTATTCAAAAGTTATTGCGGCTGGAAAATTCAAAAAATAGTGTTTCAACCAACTCTTATCAGACTTTTGAGCTCGAAGAGCTCATAAACAAAATAAGTGAAATGTTGAGCGTTTAGGTATGGAGTTGGCGGAAAGTTTCAGAGATGGCCTTTAGGGTCAACCGTTTTCCTAAAAAAAAAATTTTCAATCAGAAAAAAAATTGCGTGATATTTACCGAGACCCCTCCTCTCTCCAACGTAAGATTAAATGAGATTTGACTCGACCCCCTCCCCCCTTAAACACCTTACGTAATTTATGGACGCCCCCTTATTCCTTTCATATTTTTTTGTTATTTTTGATTATTGAAGTTATACTTCTTTAGGCGCGTTATGAAAAATTTATGAGAGTGAAATTTTACGATGCGCGCGCACCGTGACACAAAATTATCAGTATGGGCGCCGAGCGTGCGCGAGCAAGATGGGAATAAGACAATCTACAAGTAAAAAGAAATAGAATATGCGTTAAGTTCGTATGCCAAGAATTTTGAATGACCATAATGACATTTGTAGTACCTTTTAAACAAATAAAGGAGTTTAAATTATTTTTTCAAAGAAATTTAGCAATGCTTTTCCACAAAGACCTATTGTTACTTAGTTAAAAGGTTATGAAACATACCTAGTTATTAAATTGAATTAATAATATAATAAAATAATAATTATTATTAATATTAATTAATAATTGAATAATATACTAAATATTAAATATTGTTAAATTATTAACGGTAAATATTTATTATTAATTATTTAATATTTAAAAAAAATAAAGAAAGCCAAAGAAGTATAACTTCTTACGCGCGTACATATGTACACGCACCATTTTTATTATTTTGTGTGTGTCTGTGTTTTATTAGTAATAAATGTTATGTTAAGTAATATTTATTTATATCACTATAATTATTTTCGCCATTTTTCTATACACGTTTTTTTCCGAGAAAATTATTACGAGAAACGTGCTATGTCGACCATCGATCGAGACAGACTGATTGTGGAACTAGTAGTGTAGAGTATAGACACAACGGATTTGGTCGAACCGAGACCGGAGCGACATCGGACCGCGAAGAGCATCATAGTGTGAATCGAGCCTAAAGACTAAAGAAATCATTATTCTATCGACCACCGGCTTAAAGCTGCCGTCTAGGGATGTGACATTCTGCATAAACAAATCGATTTTTTCCTAAATTTTGAATTAATTTCAAAATAAACACCCTAAATATTTTATTTTTCATGGTTTATATAATTAAAAATAAACAATAGAAATTATAAACACAAATTAACGTTTAAGAATAATCAAAATCGATATTAACTTAATCTCGTTTTTATATTTTTAGGTGAAATTTGAGAAATGCTGAGTGTATGCCTTTTCAGTAGCACATTGCAGTATTTTTGTTGTCTTTTTAATTGTATGTAATCTTCTGCTGCTGAAATTTATTTGCTTTTAAATTATAGTGTTGTGGTGTAACTTGAGTTTTTGTAAAATTAACTGGTTTTATCATCCTTTCGGTGTTTTACAAAAAAACATGAATACATCGAGTATATCAATACATCTTCAAAGAATCGGATTCAATGTATCGCATTGTAAACATCGATGTATATCGAATATCCCTAATAGTTCGAGGTCCGGGTTATAAAAGACATAATGTCGGGATGTGGCCGATGAAAAATCGACTATGATTTTAAAATATAAAAATAATCGATTATTTTAAATATAAAAATCGCGTAAAAAATCGATTATTTTTTCACATCCCTAAGTGCCGTCGAACCGCAGCGGGTTTTCACCCCAAATGAAAGAAAGCCGGTCTCGACGGTTCCTCGTTTAACCTCGTAGAAAACTCGAGGCTCGGCTAAGCATGTTTAGATATTTAGGTTATGTAAGAGATCTCGAAGGAGACAACTTTGTCGTAGGATTGGACAGGACGCACAAATCTGACTCAAATGTGATATAAAAGTGCTCGGGTCGGATGGGTGCGTTCAATTAATGCGTAGTCGCTAAATGTATGAAATGCATTTATTATTTAATGATAGCGTATTTGTATGTTGTACAGTGTTCACTTGTATTTTTGTCGACCTAATTCATTCCTGGTGCCTACCGGGCGTAGTGACGGACCGCTCTATCTATTTCTACATAGTTCATATTATATAGCCCGTGTATAAAGAATAGAAATTTAAAAACCTAATGTATATAGTATTGTCTTTTATTTTTACATAACTTTTACACATTTAAAGAAAAACAATTTTTTACATAACTTCGATCCGGTAAAAAATTGTTTTTCTTTAAACCTAATGTATTTTTATATTGTCATATTATGTGCAAATAAAGGAATGACTCAAAAACGTGGAAGTCAAAACAATTTTATTAAATAAACCATAAAATTAACATGTACAGTGGTTATATACAAATGCTAAATCACAGACAAAGTGATTGTTTTGTTGAGAGCTAAATGTAGTGTCACTAGTTAAGTTGTCAATATAAACATTATACATTGCAAATGTTTAGTCCAATTTAAAGATACTCGAGGTCCGTATAGTTACGAATCTCCCTTGTAAATATTTGAAATTTTCTAGAATAAGGACCCTTAAAAGTTAACGGTCGCGTCGAACAAATTGTATCTCGTCTCTGTAACTAATTATATTTAACGTAATTGAATACACATCTCAAAATTTTTGTCTCAGATCATTTATAAAAACTTACTCAAAAATACTATTAGGTAACGAAGAAGTCGGGAAGTAGATCCGTGCCAAGAGCGCTCAAGCCACCAACTGCTTGGAGGCGATGCACTGTTTCCCGTACTCGGTGGCGGCGAGACCGCGGCACGCGAGAGAAAACTCTCGCATCGCATACAGCACACGTCGCTTATTGCTTATTTCTCTGCAATAGAGATATCGTTTCATCGATCAATCAAAAAGCTCGCCCAGAGATACGTCCACACAGAGTTGGCGGTGTGGCGACGTCAATCTGTATCTCTCGAGTACCTGACCAAAGATTGGGCTGATGACTTAATATACTGGTGGGTGTCAAATGGCCATCGAAACTGAAGAACGACTTCATTCACCTAAAGTGTGATTATGCGTGATCCCACTTACCAAACTAAAATCATACAGACCTTACCTAATGACTCACGCCGATAACTTCAGTAACATTCCTTCCATACGGCAAGCACTTCCTATAAAGAATTTTAAACGGCCAACTCCTTTATTATAGAGTACCTACTACTTCGTCGTCAATCGTTACTTCCCGAAATTGTTTACAACAATACCCTTCTAATCGAAGCCATAGGCGACACAGTTATATTTAACGATGCAAGCTGCTGTGGCAGGCTGTAGACTGTACGATGTGCCTCTGTAAGCCAAACTTACGATAATATCTCAAACATACGAAGCATCAAGAAAAACTTCAACGTTTCGTAATTTCTGTCTATTCCGACTAGGCATGTCTCCAGATATTTATCATAACTTTCAGGGGTTCTCTTCTTCTTTGAATGGCTTTATTTGCGATAGCTCAACATGCGTTATATCCACTCATCTGACGGTATCGTTGTTCTGCACAAACATCTTAATCTCAGAACTTCGGTTGACGAAATTACAATACTCACTATTAGATCTCCTACAAATGTTGATCACTCGATAACACGCTGATCAATTAATCTTATAGATTTACGAACATCTGAGGAGTGCTTGAATAGAAGCGTGAAGATCACCCCAAAGCCATTCCATCTACATACGAAGCGAAAATACTTAAGGAGCGAGCTAATAATAATCTGTATAGACAGTAGACACATTGTGGTAACTCCGATAATCAACTATGATTTAAGCCTTTTCCTCAGCTTCAAATTTCACCCCAATCGACAAAGGTAACCCGTTAGCCATTTCTATTATTCATAATGACTAATGTGTCAAACCGTTCAAGTTCGAAAATCCGACCAGTGCTGAAAATTCATGCCCATGGCTCGGAAAAAACTCATTGTACTCAGTCCTCACGGATCAGGAATATGATGTTCTTTAATCGAGCTGATATCTGAGAAGGTTATCAAAATAATTAACCATGCTCTTTGCCCATCCCTGCTCACTTATTGCAAACTGCTTGGGGTAGAACATCTGAAGTGAAACTGGACCGCGCTCAAATATTCCCTTAAGATTGCTTATACAGATATCCCACGGCCAAACTCCAGGCTCGGCGACATCATATGTTCTTGCAATATGCCTTCGATTCCATTTACTCTAGGTAAAAAGCACCTGGTCATAGAGCCTTCCTGGAAGTTATAAATCACTGCCGTGTAATGCTTTCAAGGGGAAGGTACCGCGAGTATTTAGACCATAGGTTTGTTAACAATTATAAATGTTAATGTTCTCATTATATGGCATTATGAAAATTAATATGACATTTGATGATTGCTGATTGTGCAGATTTTTATAATTAATCGATCTAAATGTACACTTTCTTTGCAAATAAACGATTTATTTATTTATATACCTTCTTACTTTCCCACCCCAAACGAGACGTCTTTTGTCAACTGCAAAGGTCCCTTCTTTTATAACAAAATATTTCATTTGGTTGAGTCGAAGGTGGGTAAATTGTCGAGGGATAACGGAGCTACAGAAAAATTATTACTTATGGTGGTTTGAGACGAGGCAGTTAACGGCGACCGCAGCCATAATTCTTTTACTGCATATTTTAAGTAGGTAATAAGTCTTTGGTCCCTGTAGTTGAAGAGTCTGGTCATGTCCCCGAGTGAGGATCGGCGGCTCTAACATAATGCCATTCATTCCTTGTTTAGTCGTATATTCTCACCTGATGACAGATTCCACGAACTTTTCCTTATCACCGGGCGAGACGTGAGGCGAAGGGAAGTTAAGCTCTGCGAGGGGCCTTCGGAGCCATTCCTTGAACTCGTGTGGGCTGGAGGCCACTCGATTGATGGCCATCACTAACACCGTGATCGCCTCCAGTTGGCCCCTCGGTCCTTCGCAACCTGTTTATGAGAACACATACTGTATATGTTGGATCGGAGGTCGATAAATTTAAAAGCAATTAAATTAATTTCCATTTTTAAAGTTGCAAGAAAGTCTATGAATCGTCGCTCGTACTCGCGATACGAACAATCGTATAGTTAACGTAATAGAATAATAAATGTATAAAAACATTTTGTTTAAAATTATTTTGAAAAGGTGAAAAAACCAGTCTTATTCGATATAATAATCATCTTCAACGAATAATAAATAGCACTATAGACTCACTGATGGCGAGTATTAAGGCTCGCATGACGTTAGGCGCGAAATGGCTCAACGCTTGGACGCGCTGCGTCGCCAACGAACCGATCCAAACGCACGCCGTTCGAAAAGCGCGCGTTTCCGGCACGACTAACGCACGAAATGCTGTAACAACATTATTCATTCCACATACTAAGACGAATTCACTTGAGTCATTTAAGCTCTATAGCTGACACATGTCCAAAAAATTTTGTTCTATTTATATACAATAAGGATTTTAAAAGCAGTAGGGAGCACGAAAACATACCAACTTTAAAAAACTGAGTGTTATAGGAATTACACATTATATTATAATTAGTTGATCGTCTTTTTAATCTTAAGGCTAAAGCTTAATTTAAAAACAACAAGTCGGAAACGGCGTTTACCCAAACTCATCAATTCCGGCATCAAACTGTCAATCCACTCGAGATGATGCGTCTTCTTCCTGGTTAGGGTGTAGAGGCCGTGGAATAGGGCTTCGAAGAGGTCGGGTCGGGCTCCCTTAGCCTCCTCCGAGGTCAGGTACTGCACGAGCCTCCGCAGGCATCCGTTAAGCAGTCGGTTCGCTTTCTCACACTCCGGGCCGACCATTTGTATTACCTGGTGAAAATATCGATATTGTTTCAATATCAATATTATTAGGCATTTAAATTTAGTGGGTACAAACTTACAAATACAACTAGTCCGAATCCCGAAGCGGAAGGGTGCAATTGAAAGGCGGTAGCGGTGAGTTGGGAGATCTCGTCCAGGAAAGGCTCGCATTCGGCCATCAGAGCCGACACCGTGTTGTTGAGGATTTGGAACAGAGGCTGATTTAGACAAAAACTGCATATCGGTTACGAGATCATTTTAGATTACAATTCGTCATAGTCGTAGAATAGTGACGGATCTGACAAATAGTAAACTTTGCAGGGCAGCTATTTTAATTCATATTCTGTAATTATGAAAATTGGCTTGTCAATGTAGTATATATGATAAAAAATGGATTTTGGATTTTTTTCAAATCCGACATTGTTCTACGATCACGACGAAATACTTAATACATTCATGAGAAATGAAACAAGGCTTACGTCAACCAGGGCGGGATTAGTGGTCAGCACAGTGAGCGAGGGTAGAAGCCCTCGGAACATCTCGGCGGCGAGCTGCGGCTGCCGCGACAGCGCGCTCATAAGAGCCGCCGCACATTGCGCTGATACGCTACCGCCCGCTGGCGCCTTTGACAGGTTGGCATTTTTATTCAATATGACATATTGCTACTCAGTATTCGAATTTACTAAATTATTTTTTTTAATAACAATTTCGGAACACAACTTTGCATTTTTGATATAATGTGGTATTCATGATACAAAAACGATGCTAAAGGTTTGTTCGAATCTGCAAACCCCGGCAAGGATTTTAAAATTTAAAGTGTTTTTTTCGTAATTACTCGAAATCGGTAAAAGTTAGATAAAAAAGTTTATATAATTTCCAGAATTGTTTAAATGAAATACAAATTTAATCACCTGTGAGGAGATCTGTTGTGCGATATGTTCCGTGAGTTGCAGTAGAAGCGGAGAAGAGACCGAGTGTTCGCACGAGGCCAGGGCACCTCCCGCCGCCGACGTCAGCTGACGACGCACCCACGGGTACGACACACTTTCGGCGCTCTGTTTTCATCCAATCGAATTGCATCAATTCATTCTTACACCCTCAAGCAAGTACACTAATTCACGTGGTGTTATTTGAAATGACACTGCTGACCAATATTCATCTTGAAATGTCACAAGCGAGTGACCGTCTCGGCCTCGTGTATCGATCATCATTTAAGTGAGTCCTTTTACTCACCATAGCGGCATGCACGATGTCCTGTACCAGTAAGGAAGCGGCGTCGCTGCACTCTGTGGTGAGGCGGCGAAGGGCCAGAGCCGCGGGCATCGGACAGCGGCCTAGGGCCGCACCCGCCGCGCGCACGCACTGCACGCCCAGGCCTTTGTATCCGTCGCACGTCTCCTCGATTAGATTGATCCACGTCGCGTGCGTACCTTTACCGAGCGGTATTTTCTGAATGATTTCATATTACAGTGTAAGCTCTTTATAAGGACATTCGCTATAACGATAAATCCCATACTTATTCACTTTTTATAACGTAACAGCCATTCTGTATAACGATGTAATATTTTCATATTTAGACATCAACACATATTAAGTGTAATTGTTTTTATAATTAGCTTACAAAACTAAACTTTTGAGGCACCAGAGGTCATAAACAGGCTTTCTTTAGTTAATTGCATTAACACGTGTGCCATTATTCTCATTACAGCCATTGCCTGTAGGAAGTTTTGGTCTCAGTTACTAAAACCATGGTCACCTATCTATTATACAAATCTATGTATATATAAATCTGTTTTTTTCTTCTCTCCGTATAATGAAAAAAAATTCTTGGTCTCTTGAAATTCGTTATAAAGAGTTTACACTGTATATTTATCTGGATTTCACTTCCGAAGAATCCTCGACTCACCGATACACTCCAAAGCCGTCTCTAGAGTTCGTTTGTCTTGAGTTTCGGCGACGACTTGTAAAGCGCGTCGCAAAAGACCGGGCAAAGCTGCCGGCGCTTTATCGTTCTGCGCGACGTCCGCCAACGAACTGAGGACGTGTAGGGCGGCTTCGCGGCGCGACTCCTTCTGGGCCGTCTCCATGACGGTGGCCACTATGTCCCAGCACATATCGCCTATCACCATGAAGCAATACATCTGTAAAGATTATGTTGTAGCTTTCGTGTAGAAGGGAAGTTTAAAAATGCGTCGACTACCGCGATTTTGAAAATATTCATCTAGGTAATAATAATACAAAAAAATAAAAAAGATTAAGACATTGAAATATGTACATACAACCGCATCTCCAATGTCCTGCCGATAGCACCGCAGAAGTTCCTGATCGTCCCGCGACAGATCAGACTCGGGCGGCATTTCTGACTTGGTGATGAAGGCCATTAGAAGCTGCGAAAACACTTCTTTCCATATTGGTTTCAATTTTTCAGCACTTTCCGAGTCGGATCTTCCGAGGAGATCGTCCTGAAAATATATTTTGGCGTCTTTTTATACATAGATTGTTCATGGGTTGGAGTAAAATTGTGGGTGAGTTTACGTGAGACGAGAAAGAAGATTTCAAATCAGGATCGAAATTAATTACAACGTAGCGACAGATGTACCTGTAAAATGTACCAGAGGCTGAATAGCAAATTCGATCTGGTCTCGTGAAGTGGGTAATATCCTGGCGCCCCCTGAGCCTCCAGAAGCAGACGAAGGAGTGGCAGAACTGCACTGTTCTCGCCGTCGGCATTGATGGCTTTCACCACCGTTCCCGAGTGTGTCTCGCACACTGACACGCAGCAAGTCACCATTGCACACACCAGCTCCTGCAATTGTATTAATATTAATACAATTGACCCAAATCCCGTTCCTAAGAGTGAAGGATTTTAAAGTACCTCATTCACCGAGTCCGGTACGTTGTTTGCCGCGAGCACGGGCCCCACGAGCGATGCTAGGTCGGCCATCATGGTTTTACCGAAGTTCTCATAGTTACAGGCATCGCCCTGTGTGGTAGCTATTCGCATAGAGGACAAACACGCTTCGCAGGCTTCTAGTGCAGATCCACTAACTATACCATTTGTTCTGTTGATGAGTATTCGATATCACTAATATCATTAATTTTTTACACTTCAATAAATCAATTTACTGATATCATACATATATATCTACTTACTCGTTTGTGTTCGCGATTATCTCTTACTTAAAACTAAATATCTATCCTGATACTCTTTATTGATTGGGCACGTTTGTGTTCACGCCGAGAAATGAGATTCTTACACAATGGTATGTTTTATTCTATCCTTTTAATTAACCGGAAAATATATGACAGACTAAATTTGAAGAAATCCTCTAACGGTTAATGTATTATAAACTGTATTGAAAGAATGTCTCAAATAATGGTATATGTATTTGAAATAGGTTCATTACATCTACTATACAAGACTAATATGAAAGGTGAGTAATTTACTTACGTGTATAATACATGAACAGCCATTTGTAAAGCACGAATAAGGGGTGCTCTGTCAGTAATAGAGTAAGAAATTTCAGCAAGAGCTTCATTTTGGATCACGTTAAGCCAGCTTCCCACGCAAGTGGCGGCTACCGTCCATGAGTTTACTATTTCTTCACTTGGTGGCCCACTACTCCAGTCACTGAGAGAAAATGTGGTAAAGTTTTGAAGAAATTATCAATGTTAAAGTTTTATATAATATTAATGTAAAAAATGTTACATACTTATACACATTTTCCAAAATCTTGAGCATATCATTTACAACCATGGGACAGGATTTATTTAAAGTCTTTAAATTTTCTAGACGCCGCTTAGAACCCATTGTCATACTGCTAAACTAAAAGGAAATTCATACATTATAATGAGAATAATTGCATATTCGAAACTTCTTTAATGTTATATTTTTTAGCTTATAAAAAAAATAAGTAAGGATTAGGGCAATTGGGAAATATTACTTGTAACTGATAACAATCAAAGCTTTTATAGGTAAGGGTTGATAAGTTTGAGTGGGTTACCGAGCATTTAAAAACTCTTTTCTAAATGGTTTAAGCAATTGAAAGAAATAAAGCATTTTCTACATACTTCTTCTGGGATTACTGTCAGAACTTCAAGAAGTAATGATGAGTTTTGTGGTGATGTTAGTGGACTAAGGATAGGTGCTAGATCCATTGTTTCTTGTTGAAGGATAAAGGCAGCCAACTGAAAATTTAATTTACAGTGAGATATAAACCAAAAATATACATAAAATAAGGGACTATAATTTAGACTGTTATAATATGTCATTATAACAGTCTAAATTCATACTGTTTCATTATAATATGGCTGTAATATGCCAAACTGGCTGTAACTGTCAAAATATAATTAAAAGTATTTTTTATAAGTTATATATACAGGTGCTCAAAAAGTCGTGGATCAAACTCAACTATGGGATAGATGAGGGCATCAGCTGCAAAAAATTGTTCTATGGGAGGTCCCTAAGCGTAAGCCCTGCAGAGTTATAATTTATTTATAGCGACTCCTGGCCATGTGCAATACCTTTTCAAAATCCTTATTAAATGCGCCAAAACTTAAATTAAAGGGTCACTTTTCAGTAGAGTATTTTTTTTTCACAGTGGGGTCCGAAGTAATCAAAAAGTTATGATTTGAGAAATTTTTAAATAGTTTACCTTAATATTATTTTCAATACACTCAATAAACAACTATAAATAGTATGTCCAACATAAGGACTCATCAGTACCAATCTAGTATATATTATTAAAAAGATACAGGATGTAGATTTTTTCGAATTTTAATAAGAATTAGATAAAAATGCAAAATAAATTATAACTCTGCAGGGGTTGGGCTTAGATACCTCCCGTAGAACAATTTTTTGCAGGTGATGACCTCATCTATCCCCTATTTGCGTTTGATCCACGACTTTTTGGCCACCTGTATCGACTGACTAATTGTTAGCTTTTGATTTGGAAATGTATGAAAAATTATTTTTTAAGAATGTAGCTATGAAAAAATAAAAAGTAAAATTGTGAGCAGCTTATTATGAACATTAACAATTTTAGGATTTATAGTAACATTTAATAGCCATATATTGAAGTACAGGATTTCATTTACCAACAATGGAAATGCTTACACTTATACATAGCCTGTTAGTGACAATCTTTGGTCCATTTGCATATGCCATAACTGATTGTAATAGTTTGTTCAAGAGTTCTTCATAACTTTCTTTAGGTAGTTCATTCCAACATCTTAAGATTTTTGTATGTAATGTTGTAGCTGCATAAAATTGTACTACTGTGCCCTGCAATAAAATAATATGAAGACTCAATTTTTTTGACAGTAAATCTTATAAGGACAACAAAGTAAATTATACTTAATATATTTCAATTTTGAATTACCTTAGTGGGCTGAAGGAGATCCCACACAAAGTTCCAAGCTTCAGGAACCTTTTGAGCGTTCGTTAACCATGTGTGAGCCTTAGCCCGCTCTTCTGGTTCACCATTATAAAATATGGATACCGCGTACTCCAAATTTTGCACAGTATACTCCATTTGTTATAGTTTTGGTATACTTCAGAAAGCAATATTAAAATAATGTATATGTAAAGTATATTTAACAATATGGATTCGAGATAACACTAAAATAAATGTTTATTATGTTATTTATGTACGTATTACACAATTCACTTTAATTTTGGAATTAAATAGGTATTCCGTATTAGTAGATGACATTTTTTAGAGTTTAGTCATTAAATTTTGCAATTAACGTTTAGAATATAACATTATAAGTTTTGTATGTATTTAGCACAAGTTAAATAATTACTAAATTATTTACAATATTTTTACATATCGCAAAATAAATATATGAAAATTTTGACTTTGTTAAAATATCTGTAATCTGTAGAGTCTGACAGTCTGACTGATGCGCAGACTAAGAAGAAAATAAATGTCAAATCCAAACGCCGAATACTATCCACAGAATCAACCTATTCTATTTTTTCTTGCTTATAGATTTCTTTTTTACTTTATTAACCAGATAATTAAAACTGAGTTATTAATTATTAAGGTAAATAAAAATATATGATCAAGTGTGCCAAAGAAAGCTGTAACAACCGTGGTAGACATTAAATATATCGATCAAATCACATAGTATCTATGTATAATATTAGTCCATCAATCGACCACGGACTAACAGTCAAGCAACACTGTGATCAACACATATATTGGGGGCCTCATACATAGAGAACACTGTCGAATTTCTAAAAGACAAGCACGAATTATAAAAAATCCTATACTTGACGCTGGCTAATGCACAAATCGTGCCAGAGCCATTAAAAAAAAAACACATATATTATCTATTATCATCTATCATATTGTCTCTGGTTTTTAGAATTTCAAACAAGCGCGAAGAAGCGAAAAGGAACTTTTATTACTTAAACACAACAGTTATTTTGTTGGCGAAAAATGAAGATCGAAGAAGTCAAGAGCACTGCTAAAACTCAGAGAATTTCAGCTCATAGTCACATAAAAGGTTTAGGCTTAGATGAAAATGGGATACCTATTCAGATGGCAGCCGGTCTCGTGGGCCAAGAATCTGCTAGAGAGGTGTGTTATTATTTTGATTAAGGATCCTATCAATGTTCTCTTTTATTTTTAATTATATAAGTTTTTAAAACTAAATTGGTATTATAGAAGGAGATGAAGAAGTGAAGGTATTGATCAAACACTAAGGTTATGTTTTGGTTGCTATGATAAACTAAATAGAATTTAAAGTAAAAATAACTATTATTAATAAAATCATTAACTTAATAATTTGTTACAGGCGGCTGGATTAGTGGTTGATATGATTAGAAGCAAAAAAATGGCTGGTAGAGCACTATTACTAGCAGGCCCACCTGGGACAGGCAAAACTGCCATTGCTCTAGCAATTGCGCAGGAACTTGGTAATAAGGTAATTGAAGTGATTCCATGTGCTAGCCAAAGTCCTGTGGCAGAGGTCAAAGTATTTTTAGTATTGAAATGTAAATCTTTCTAGGTACCATTTTGTCCTATGGTAGGCAGTGAAGTATATAGTACTGAGATAAAAAAGACTGAAGTTTTGATGGAAAATTTCCGCAGAGCGATAGGTTTGCGTATCAGAGAAACAAAGGAAGTTTATGAAGGAGAGGTCACTGAGCTGACACCAGTTGAGACAGAAAATCCTGCTGGAGGCATGTATTTTGAAACTAAACTTTTAAATAGTAGTTGCATGTAAGATACATTTTTTTATGCCAGCCAACATTGCTGCTAAACATTATGAATGTTATGGATAATGACAATGACAGTGATCATTATTTAATAAATAAAACATTTAAAGTAGAAATTTGTTTCCAGGTTATGGGAAAACTGTATCACATGTCATCATAGGATTAAAGACTGCAAAAGGCACAAAACAATTAAAGTTGGATCCCACCATTTATGAGTCACTTCAGAAAGAAAAGGTTGAAGTGGGTGATGTCATTTATATTGAAGCAAATTCTGGTGCTGTTAAGCGTCAAGGAAGAAGTGATACATTTGCTACAGAATTTGATTTGGAGGTATTTCTTTTTAAATACTATACAGTATATTTTGTGTTATTGCAATTTTTATAAGATATAAAAAAAATTAAATTCTTTAGTTTGTTGAACATAGCACACTATTTTGGTACAAATATAGTGAATAATCTATTTTTATGTAAATTTCTAATATTTAATAAACTATTAATTTATACTCCATGGAGCCCATACTGAAACACTTGTCTCTGCATTTTTATCATAGCATTAATATGAGTTGACAACGAAAGTGTACACTCAATAATCGATTCCAATTAGTATTTGTTTTTAAACAGATAGAAATTTAACTAATTTTTTAGGCAGAAGAGTATGTGCCGCTTCCAAAAGGAGATGTTCATAAAAAGAAAGAAGTGGTCCAGGATGTAACTCTGCATGACCTGGACTGTGCCAACGCCAGGCCCCAGGGTGGACACGACATTATGTCTATGATGGGACAGCTTATGAAACCAAAGAAGACAGAAATTACAGGTATAATTGTAGCTTGCCCATTATATATTTTTTCAAAATTGTTTTCTCAGGTATAATAGGTATAATTTCATTTTTACAGATAAATTGCGAAAGGAAATCAATAAAGTAGTAAATAAATACATTGACCAAGGTATAGCAGAATTAGTGCCAGGAGTGCTGTTCATTGATGAGGTAATAATATTAATAAATTACTTAAGTTCTTTTAGTTGCAATCCTTCCTGAATTATAGTGTAAATATGAATTTTTTTTCTGCAGCTGAGTTGATAAATGATCATAATTTTTCAGGTGCACATGTTAGATATTGAAACATTCACTTATCTGCACCGAGCTCTGGAGTCTGCTATAGCTCCCATAGTTATTTTCGCAACCAACAGAGGGCGTTGTCAAATAAGGTTTGTTTTCCCTATTTTTCTACAGAAAATGATCACGACTTCTACGACACGATTTAAAAACCAATTCACGTTATTTATTAGTACCTATACAAATCAATATTTTTAATTATGTTAAGTTTTAAAATTCAAATTAAACGGGGGGGTTACCCCCCCCCCCCCCGGGCCCCCCTGGTTTTAAAAAAAGAAAAAAAAATTTTTTTTTAATTAAATTCTTAAATAAATTTCAACAAAATTTCTAGATATATAAATATGGATTTTTTGATAAATTATTAATGATTGTGTGTAAGTTATCCATAACACTTTTTAAAGCCATTTTCTTTAAAGGTTTTTTTTTTTTTTTTTTTTGTGTTGGCGGCCCCCCCCCGGGGGGGGGTTGGGGTTGGTTTTTTTTTTTTTTTTTTTTTTTTTTTTTTTTTTTTTTTTTTTTGGGGGGTTTGGGGGTTTTTTTTTTTTTTTTTTTTTTTGGGACCCTTTTTTTTTTTTTTTTTTTTTTTTTTTTTTTTTGGGGGGGGGGGGGGGGGAGTATTTTTTTTTAAAAAAATTTATTTTTTTTAAGGGGGGTTGGGTACCCTTGGTTTTTTTTTTTTTTTTTTTTTTTTTGTTTTTTAGAGGGGGAGAGGGGGGTTTTTTGGGTTGGAAATTTTTTGCAAACGTTTTTTTTCTTCGGGGGTTTTTTTGGGGGGGGTCATGCTATCAAATAGCCTATTGTGAGTTACATTGAAAAATATGTTCTTATTTGTATTTTTCAGAGGAACAGAGGACATAATCTCCCCTCACGGCATTCCCTTAGACCTGTTAGATAGACTTCTCATAATTAGGACATTGCCATACAATAAAGCTGAGCTATTACAGGTACATAATTGAAGCAATTTTAGTTTTCATAATATAGGGATGTGCTTTATTTAGTACTGACGTGATTGATGCATCCACTCGACATTGACTGCTCCATCTGATAAGATGAACCTTTTACAGATATTAAAACTGCGTGCGACCACAGAGGGAATATCAATTGACGATGAGGCGTTGGCAGCACTCGCCGAGATCGGCACCAATAGTACTCTTAGGTATTGCCATTATTATTATTACATGAAGTAGTATTATTACATTAATGGCAAAGATCAGTGTCAGAACTAAGATAATATTTTTATTATTAGGTACGCAGCACAACTGCTAACGCCGGCGATGTTAGCGGCGCGAGCAGATGGCGCCACTCGTATTGCGCCGGCGCATCTCACATCCGTGCACTCACTCTTCTTAGACGCTAAGTCTTCAGCCAAGATCCTGACACAGCACTCTGATAAATATATGAAATAATTAAAGAAAAAGGACTAAATTACGTTATGACAATTAATTTTTCGTTTACTATAAAGCAATTAGATTGTTCTACGAGGAGCAGAGCGGAGAGCTTTTTGCATAAGAGCAGTTTACTTTTGAAGGATTACTATCTGTGATTTACTTTTGTTTTAATTCGTACTTTCTGTTCTCCAATGTTATGTTACGGTAATGAAACATTTGTTTAATAAATAAGTTTAATTAAATATAAAAGTTTCTTAAACTATCTTATTTACACATCCATTTAACCTTTTTACATAAATGACACAACCTGTACAATGCTTCCATTGATACAATATTTACATTAGTAATTCTCATTGATGTACTCTTTTTTCAAGTCTTTCGTAAACGAAGGCACGTACCGAGGGTCGTTAGATCTTTTAACGGGGGCTGTCGTGGGAGTTGTAGTGATGGGAGGAGAGAATGTGGGCAAATCGACCTTCATCACTGTGGGTTCAGCGGTGTGTCTGTAAAGCGCCTCGAATTGCATTTCTTCTGGGTAAGAATGTGACCGGATTTTCTTCTCTTCTCTTGCATTAGTCGGGTAAACTATAACGATTTTTTCACCCTCCCTGTGCAGTGCTACGGGAGGCAAGGCCGTGCTAGTGGCTACGGACGGGCCGGCTACTACTTGCAGCATTTCTGTGGGGGCCGCTTTTAATCTCTCCGTGGTTGTAGTGGGCGTTGTGGATGACGATGTGGTGGTAGAAATGACTACGGGAATGTCGGGATCCTCAGGGGTCTCGAACTCTCGCTTCTCTCCCGGCGGACCCATCGTTTGGAGCATTTCAATTTTCATTTCTAAAGTCGGCGTCGGGACAGGGACGGAATCTGTAGCGTTCAGTTCTTCGGTTGGTATGAATCGTGCTGTTGATTTTGGAAGCTCTCTCGAGCCAAATATTGGCAGACGTGGAGCGTAGGCGGAAACTAATGGTAGAAGAGTATCTCTTGCGTATCTTTCTGCTCTCGATATGAAGGAAGCTAGACGCGCAGGAAGAAACTGAACGGCAAAACTGGTTTCTTCTTTGTCTGCCTTGGCGTCAAATTGGCCACTCGTTGGAGTAGTTACGTCAAAATGTTTCGCTTTTCGTAAAGGAGGGGGTGATGTAGATCTGGGAGCAGACGTCGGTCGAAGGAGGGGTTCTGATATCTCGTGCATCTCTTCGGGGTTGTCGGATCTTTGTCTCGGAGTCTTTCTCGGTCTAGGTCTAAGGACAGGCTCGGCGATCTCCACTTGACCGCTGGGTGCAGTTTTGGTGTTTGTCATTCCAAAAGCACGGCCAGTGTCACCTCCGCCCCATTCGTATGTATCCACAAGTGCAAAAGGTCTCTGTGGTAACTCTTCCGGAAGCTCGTTGTCATGCGGATCGTCGCCGATGATGTTGGTCCCGTTGTCATTTAATATAATATCTTCCTTTATATTTGTTTCGTTAACGATTCCGTCAATCTGAATATGAACAAAAAATAAAAAGTCAAATATATTTAGGTTTGATATCTACTATATCATTATTAATTCATTTAGGTATACTATACATACCGGTTTCATCTCACAATCACCAGGATAAAGAGGTAATTGAACCGACTCATCCGACAGCAACCATAAAAGTTTGCAAAATGAGGATCTGTAAAATTAAGGGTGAGATCTATAGTGCGCACTTGGACTTTGCTCAGACTTACCTTACGAAAAACTTTGCTTAGTGTACACTAAGGTTAAACTATGATTTCGTATTTATAGACATTTTAACGGTGAGATTAAGCTAAGCCCAAGCTAAGACAGAAAATGTCAAAATACAAATTGATGTTTCATTTCATGCAATACTTTGTTTATTATCCTTTAAAAAAGTTAACAATAACAAATATTTAAAAATCTAAAACGGTACACATATATCTTCAATTTATTGTTATTTATGTATTCATTTATTTTATTATTGCAATAACTAGAAATTCACGAGTAACCTTTAGAAAATGTATTAATTATTTAAAGATGACAATAATTTTATTACGTAGAACGGATCGCAATGTTTTGGTTAGGTTATAGTTTGAATTTCGTTGTCACTATAATATGCCAATTGCCAGGGCTGCCAGGTGACATACAAAATCACACCAGTTATTTTTAAGATTTCTCAAAAATGGGGTTTGAACAATTACATAAATAATATAAATAAACAACAATAAATACCATAATAATGTGTAATTATTTTATTTCATGCATTTCATAGGTATTTATCAAGATCATTTATAATTTCTTTGAATTCAAATTCTATTTTTCCCAAAGTCTATGGAACTCCGATACAAAATGGCAACACCGTTCATTAAAAACCGACAAAAATAAAAAAGTCCAGTAAAAGATATGATGGTAAAGCAAATTTTGGGCCATTATTTTTGTTAGGCTTATAGTCAAAGTTTTTGGTAAGTCGTCGATTTCGTGGACTTGAGATTAAGCTAAGCCAACACTAGGGAGAGATTCGTAGTTTGCTCTATAAATACCGACTGTGTCTTAGCTCGATAGTTAAGTCAGAGCAAAGTCTAAGTGCGCACTATAGATCTCACCCTAACAGTAACGTTGAAATGTGTGAGACTGAGAGATTGATTTGAGCGAAAATTTTCCTAATTCCTTTACGCATACGCAATATACCTACATATACCCAGTACTTAAATTTAAATTTTTGCTATACCAATATCTCTAAATAGGTTCTTACGTTTTTCCAAAGCTATCTGTGATGAGTAGTTTATCGAGATGCACTCGCTTAGCACCGGCGCTCAGCCAACCATTGTAGGCGGCGTAGTGAAGTGTGGCCTTTAGAGGAACGCCCAATGCCGGGTGTGGGACTAGAACTCGTGTCCATCTGCTCATACCCGAGCTGTCCTCGCGTCTGAAAAAATATGTAGGGGAAGATTGTTACCCTTCGTACGCGGGGCACATTCATACAGTCGAAATAAAACTTGAACGAAACAAAGTACAGTCTTGTTTTTGTATGTGTGCATGAGTCGAGGTACGAACTATACATAATCGAAGTTTCGCGAAATTCGCACCGATGAGAATGAAGTTACAGGCATGGACGTGTTTTCGCGTCGGTAAGTAATTTTTTGATCAATGTTTTTGTCTCTTGTTACCGTAGATAAAATAAGTTTTTCGTGTAGAGTATTCTATCAGTAACTAGCAAAATATACTTAGATACGTCTCCAATACTTAATTTATGACGTTTTCCTATTAATATTAAAATAAGTTATATTTTGTTGTTATTCAGTTAGTGGGGTACTTTCGGACAGCACTAGATGGGGCACATTTGAACGAATTGTACAACTAAATTTGTATGAAAATATTTTGTCGACACGAACTGTAATTTTCATACAAATTAAGTTTTCGACTTGCTACATACAAATAATAATAAGGCATCTTGACTAAAACCTCTGGTAGGTAGGAAAGATTGTGTTAGTGTGCTAATTGCTCTAATATTTCCATTAACTTTGTCCTGTGTTGCTATCATTGCTATCGTCGATGTATTTTTTATTACCTATTTTTATTATCTTTATTAAGGTTGATTTTGATGCATGTGAACCAGATGCTTTGAATAATTTACCAATCCATCAAATAGTAGTTCCTTCGAAGTCAGTTTTGACACCTTAAGGGTTTCGACTCTATACGCATGTTGTAAGAAGTAATAAAACAAACAAAATGACGACGGCCAGGAAAACCACGAATTTATACTGCCACACCCGAAAATAAGAAGTGCTAATCCGCACCAAAGATTAAAGAATGTGATTCTAAATTTAAGATACCTAACTAATTAAATTTTGGTTTTCTTAAGAAAAGCTATGTAATTTTTGTTCACTATAATTAAAGTATTTTATTTTTTGTTTATTAGAAGTTAAATCTTTTATTTTTGTGTTTAATTTCATTGCTAATAAATGAATTTTGATTTATATGTGTCGTTTTAATCGCACGTACGGAACTACCCCACAGCGTACGAAGGTACCCTCAACACTGTACGAAGGTGCCCCGTTGATGGGGTAGATTCGTACGTTTTCCAGATTTAGTTTAAATCATAATTATGGTTGAACCATCAGATGAAATCATTTGTCATTTTCTTATATGAATCTCAGATAGTTAGACTATAAATTTAAGCTTGCAGATGATTGATTCATGGAAAAATAAAATAATAAAAAAATAAAATGTGAAAACCGTACGAAGGGTCCCGACCTTCCCCTATATATTCATTGCACTTATTAGGTAGTTTTCCGCAGTGTTAAAGCAATACTAGGAATTAGAGTAATTAAATTTGTCTATTAAAGTTTTAACGTGAATAATTTACTTGGTCATAGGGAAGGATTCGTTGAGGCCCGAGTCTCCGTGTAGAGTTAATGTTACTCGACCAAAGTTAGGCTTTTCTCCTGCATCGATTCCACCCCACACTTCCACATGGTACTGATGCGCTAAAAATAAACAGAAAACTGTTAAAATTATAACGAAAACAATATCATTCTAATAACTCACAGCTCGTCAAATTAAAATCACGGAACCTTATCTTTATTTTATTACGTACCACAAAAAGGTTCTTCTTCTCTCGTCAATAAATAAAGCTGACCTCTTCCAAGAGAACGGTCAGCGTAATAACCCATGTTACCGCATCGTCGCTCCGCATCACATGGGAAGCATCGACCCTGGAATTATCATATATTTCATGACCTCCTAAAGCTCAAAGTACTTATTTAGGATAGACCATTTCACAAGTAACAACTATTCAAATCTTGTAGTGCGGCAGTTGGTATGTCAATTACAAAGAGGTGTTACTAGACAAGTGTAGTTCCAAAGGGCACGATGACATCAAGTTGTGTAGTTCTAAGGAGACTGAAAGGCAGGCTGAAGGCAACGGTAAAGAAGTTTAGATTCAATGAATGAATTGTCGTCTATAATTTGTTTAGTTCGTCTCGCAATAGATCCAAGGCACCCAGAGGTGAGCTTGATTTTGAGGTGAGAAAGAGTAAGATGTTGCCAAAATACCAAGTTTTACCCTTGAAAAGGCAACATTTCTTGAAATTTATCAGCCATTACATTAATTTAACAGATATTGCGTAATTACCTCCGAAAAAGCGTCGTAATTTGAGCAGGGGAATGCGGGAAAGTGGCACTTAGGCGACACGGAATCTGTGAAGAATTTGTACGCTCTCCGATGGTTGCACAGTGACCTGCCCTCTATAGATGCCGCTGCCCAAGGAAGAACCAAGTCTGACACAGCACCAACAAATCTAAAATATTAATTATAAAAAAAAATTAACACAAAGATGTTGATGCTGATGATTATGTTTATCACAATCAAAAAAAAAATTTATTCAGAAAACGTGATTTATTATAAGATAAGTTTTCGTTATTGCCTGAACTGATTAGAAATATTCATATTAAGAACATGCTCGAATTTAACTTTCTAATTTCTATTTGACCAATATGTTTGTCTTACAAGTTAGAGCATCCATGCTGTACTCTCCCTCCATTTGGGTAGAAGTCTACATGGCCCAGTGGCTGTGCGGCACCTAGACCTCCCAGGATCAGATTCTCTCCGTTCGAGTGGATTACATCAACGAATTTAGCATCATTTTTGTCTAAACGAGCTCTCGGGTCTTGAAATTCAAATAGCGGGCCCGCTGGATCCAAGCCTGTAAAATTACTATTATACAGTTTCCCGATCATCATGAATGTAAGTATTTACCAGATGCTATGTTAGTCTGGGTATACAGGAGAATTATTTAATTAATATTGTGATAATATGAGTGTAAGATGAAATGTACCTGTTATGCGACTTATATTTTTAAGCTCAGAGCCGGCGAATCCTGCAACATGGGCTCCTAAACTAAATCCTATTAAGTGAATGTCCTCGAAACGAACATCTATGTTATCCGCCAAACCTGGATTGAACAATTTCTTATTAGTACCTTAATGCAAACATTGACGAAGAAAATATTAACCTAAACATACAATGAAATCATACCTTGTAACATCATAGCAAGCTGTTTCCCAACAAGCCTCGTGTTAGCCGCGGCCCTTAAATAATTTGGCATCGACGCTCCTCCTTCCCAGTCTACACAGATCACGTTGCACTCTTCCTGTTACAGAAATTATGCATAAGCTTGGCAGTAAAAAGTTTTGTACAAAAAAAACTTAAACAGTTACTATTTTAACTGATTTCCGACTGCGATTTCGTCGAAACTTAAATTTGACAAAGCGCACAATAAATATAACTTTAAATATAACTCACTACAGCCATTAAAGCGGAGCGCATTTCGTACACCCAGACATTATCGCAATTAGAGCCGAAGCCGTGAACAATGACCCGTGTAGGGCGCGCCGCGTCAAAGGCCCGAGTTGCCCAACTCCAAGCTGCAGACATGTTGCTTGCTGAGACTGCCAGAAGTGGCTGGTCACCTCTAAGAACAAGCTCAGTTAGAATATGTGAAGACGGTACGAAATAAAAAGTTTAGTTAGTATAAAATTAATTTTTATATGAGTCATATAACATAAATCTAATTGAAAAAGGCATACATAAATTTAAATACATTCGGCAAACACAATATTACCATTAAACAGTATGCGTTCTATAAAGGTAAATCAATATATTGTGAATGTAATCAAATAAAAACACGGAATAGTTTTCTAGAAATACCTGCTTATCGTGGAATAGAGTAGAAACTGAGTGCCGACCTCTTTCGGAGGACTGGGAAGCGTCTCCAAATAAGCGAATGGCCCTGCATCTTCAAAACATCCAAATTCTCCATAACACACACTGCCTTGGGATCTCTTTATCCTGAAATAAATAAGTGTGAAATTACCTACTTAATTATAACTTAGTAGTTGGTGAGTTTACATCGTTATGAATATTTATTACTTAAATAATTTCTCTAATCGGTTTTCTATTACGTATAGAAAGTACAGTACATTTTCAAGAATGTTTCATTCATCTTAATAATAACATGGTATACTTACAAAATGAATACTTAATTAGCGTAAAGTATAACGATAAAAGGTAATGGCTATTTAATCTACCTGCCTTGCGATTCTGTAACTCACTTTTCGCACTCGCACAGCGGTTTTCGCAGCGGCGGTCGCGCTAAAATCAGTCGTGAAGCAGTCATTTTACGATTTGGCATTCTGATAAGGAAGGAGCATGTAGTTTATTGTTTATTAGAATGCCAAATCGTTCGAAAGAGTTCGAAAAGTGAGTTACAGAATCGCAAGGCAGCTCTTATTAAACAGAGTAATTTACTAAATTAAATTACTGTCCTTTAGATTTGTCTAAAGAAGCTAATAAAGCTTAAATTAAGCCGTTTGAGTCAGCAATTCTGTCTCTGTTACCGACTTAACCAAGTACATAGATAAACAAAATGAGGCAATCCGTGTTGTACCTTTCCAAACAACAAAATGTTTTCGCCTTTCAAGCTGTCTCTTATACAAATATTACTCGTGTATTGTCAGCAAATGGCTGAACATGTTTTCTCATGACAGTTAAATATGATTTAGTACACGCTGAATATGTCACCTCGTCTGCAGTGGGAAAAGAACATAATAGGTATATTTTGTGTTGTTATCGGATTCTTCACGCAGAAAGTATGTGCTTTGCATGTACTTTCTAAAACTTTTCTTGTTTCCCAAACTTCGAATCTTCAACTGCACTAATGACATCGAATAACCTGCGCGTGTGCGCAGTTTTCAATGGACATCAAACGATCCTAACGAAATGCTTTCACATTAAATTAACAATTTCGTGAGAATCGTGAGCAGTAGGGAACACTCGGATTGCAGTAGCCTGCGAAATTTTTACTGCCTATAGAAAGTAACGAAGCGGTGAAAGCATGATTAGACTTTCTGATAAAATGCATTCAAATTTCCTAAAGACCTGCGAATTTATGCCACTTTTCTGAGAAAGTTTTGATCTATTTCGTGAAAATGAATTGGAAGTTAAGATTTTCTTAACTTTAACATTTAAGTAATATATCACGAAGGTTTATTGAGATCAATCTTACAAGTAATGTCCCTTCTCTCAGCGCCCTTTCTTATCCGCATTCCGCTGTCAACGGTACGATACTGTCCATAGAATTCCGAATGGTTTTAAAATCTCTTTGTTGTAATATTGTTCACTTTAGATCAATAACATGGCCTAATTACGTAGTTTGCACACGAAACGATTCGTTTCGTGTCCAGAGCTCACACAGACAGATAGGTATCTAATCAACATTAATTATAGACACACAAAATCGTCCTTGGATACTTTTTTAAGTATTTTATCCAGTAATGTATCCAACTTTGTTTATCTTGGGTATGGTAGGTACAAGTTAGAGGTAAGGAGGGACGTCAATATCACGTTATATTTTTTTCCTTAGAGGTAAAATCTATAATGCGGAAATGTTGGGGAGACTGGGGCTGCGTATGCCAAATAACCACACTCGGCGTGGTAAGCGATCAATTGCTTGCAGTGCCTCGGACGCGTACAAATTTACGCGTGTTTTGCGCACCACACTATTGCTTGTGAGACGGATATATTTAGTTGCACACTGGCTGAATTCACAAGAATTGCATTATTTTTAATTAGTTATAAAAAGGTTTAGATTTTAAGTTTTTACTTGTTATGTTTATATTATGTTTTTAATTTAGTTTTCTATTGTAATAGTATTAAGTTAAGTTAAATAAATAAATGTTTTTTTTAATATCTAGATTTTGTAAAATATTGTAAATTTCTTCAGTAACAATACTCTCTTTAAAGTTAATGTTCTATTTCGTTTTTAAATATGGCCGGTGATTTAATATTACCTCGTTCGTCCCTTCCTTAGCTCCCATTGTTTTATAGAATATCTAACAGCGGCCAACAGTTCCGAGTCTCGTTTCTCATCTTCAGCCTCCTGAGCTGCTGTCACCGCTGGACCTGCACCTCGCCACGCATCTAGTTCTGCATCTAGAAAAAATGCATTTTTACTTCCTTTATAGAAGTAAAGTATTTCGTGTCACTTTGCGTCAATCTTTGACGTGTTTTGTGATGTGAGGAACATTATATTTTTTCTTGCGTCCCATACGCATTATTTTATAATAAAATGCGTCCTGAGAAATTCTATCTGCGCCCAACAGCTTGGGCTGAGGTTTTAGAATAACATGCTTAGTTTTCCAAACATTTGAAGAACCTAATACTGGACATCAATATTTTACATACACACACACAATACAATGGAAATGGCTTTAGGACACTAGGTTACCTGAATTGCATACGGATTTGACTTTTTGCGGCCTTCATATCACGTTGTAGGGCATTGTGTAAGTAACGCATGTGGCCTACTCCGGACGAAAGTAAGCCGCTCCCAGCCATCGCAAATGGTGAGAAACTTCGAACGAAACGCTTTTTATTACGATTGTGCACTAGTGGAGTACCTGCTTGGGCGTGTTAATAGTTGGCACTAATTGCAGTAATTTGGTCTCATTATATACAGCGATTAATTAAAGTCAGTTGTGACTTTAATCGTTGACTGTGTGCAATCCTAATGTGCTCCAAGAACTCGGTTTCTTTGTACCTATGTACCTTTGTCTCCGACACTATCGACATATTTTATGTTCGCAGAGTGAATTCACAGTTATAGCGATATTGTGTGTATTATGTGTTTAATATTAGATACTTTTTTATATTTTATTTTTTCTCGATATTATCATATTGGCATAGTCTGTAAGGATAATGTGTGTACTTCTGTAATAAATAAATTAAAAAAAAATATTATGTAGATTTTAAGTTTATTTCTACTACAAGTACGTTCAAGTAAAATTAAATTACATTCAGGTGCTAAGGTAGAAGGTAGATTTAGAGAGTAGGTATCACAAAATTGCATTAAAGCTGTGTTTTTAAAGAGAATACGGCATTGAGGTAATTTTATTACAGGTTAAGTGCAAAAATTCCAATGTTAACGCCATCGCAATCATTGTATAGGGTACACTTACACTTAGCTACTACTAAGGTGGACAGAGCTAGGAGTAAGGCGATCGAGCGCCAGATGTGCGTCGCCATCCATACGGCCCAGCATTCACAAACACCTGAAAAAAAAACATTTATCACATTTAATAAAAATTTCGAAAGGACTATTTTCGACCTGAATCATTTATCAAAACTAGAATTAGCTTAAGGCAAAGGAATCTGCTCACGTAATCAAAAAATACGATGATTCTATTATTATTGTTATGATTATAAGGCACAATTGTTTGTTTTGAAGTTTTCATTGAAGCCGCAAGTTAATTGTCATATGTCAGAAACCACAAAACGTTTCCATATATCTATCTCCGCAATTATTCTAAACAATAAGATCATTATTGCATCCTACAGCAAAATACTATAGTAGAATGGCTTTTGTCTCGAAAATAATTGTCGTCCAACTTGTTACACCCATACAAATCTCTATTGTTATAGTTTGAATTTTTGTTCAAAAAAGGAAATTCAATCTAGACCGATTGTTTGAGGTTTTTATTTCTTGCACACGGGATTATTTTGTAATCGAATGCGGCCTGAGAACCTGACTAAATTGTGTCTGTTCTCTATAAGGATAAAATCGGAAATTAATAAAAAAAAATGGCCTAGATCATAGCTAAATATAAGGAGAGGTAGAGACACTTTATTAAACGTATCACGTGTATTAGTACAGGATAATAGAGCTATAAATCTTATCTAATATGACACTGGAGAACAATTATATCGTTTGTGACAATGTCTTAATACATGTTACTACTCTTATAAGCAGTAGGAAGAACATTGATAAGTTAGTAAAGAGTAAAGTAAAACCTTCCTTGATATTAGTGTTTGCCTTGTAGATCGGCTAGTGACTCAACCTGGGAGGTGCGTTTGAACCCCGTATTTGTACCCCGTACCAAGGATTTTTCGATGTAGGTATATGCGCAGTGAATACTGGCAGATAAGGTAAAAATAGACAGCGTGTATCAAACAAGTCCTTTGTCTACAAAAAATGATCAAGGCAGACAGACACAGAAATCTGAGTGGTTGTATGGCTATCGGTAATTATTTTTTAATTATATATTTAAAAAAAAAATTGACGACGAAGGCGCATACACACATGCTAATAAAAATGAAAGGCAGCCTTTGATATTCAGGTTAACCTCGTCCAATTGTTGCTGCACTTAATATATATAGATACAGTCACTTTATTTTTAAACCTTAATTCAATAAAAATACATATCATAATTTGTATTGTTCTTTCACGATTTGTAATTTATATAAGTATTATCTAACAGCGACTTTGTTCCTTTGACCATTATACACATTATAATAATAGTAATAGTAATAATAGCCTCTTGATTCAGATACTTTTAATTGATATAACATATTTACATATTTACTATACATATTTGTATCTCCTTCTTGAAGGTATTTGTGTGCCGTTTTTGGCCAAGGCCTCCTCCAAATCCCACCATTTCTGTCCTGCACTTTTTGCACATTAATAAGTATTAATTTGAAGATTAGAGACCAATTTATGAGAAACATTTTATTTTTCAATTACTTAAAATTCAGTTGTTTTAGTTAAAAGTCCGTCTCCAATTTTCCCTATATTTAGGGTTGCCTTGAATCTATGTCCATGTCCAATTTAGGTGTCTTTTATGGGCAAACTATTTTTGGGCGATGTTTATACTCGTCTATAAACATATTTTTCTAAGAATGTCGAGAGTGATATCTTTTAGTGGCGTAGTGGTTTATTTAATTATATGTAATGATTATTATTATTACTGTAGGGGTAATAACCAGGACTTTAACAAGTTGCAAGTCCGGTTGAGTTAGCAACTCGTCTGTAGGGGAAATGTTTTATGTAACTTTTCATGCGGGCTCTTAAACGGGTTTCATTTGGCAATATCTTATTGCTCGTAGACAGAAAATATTACTAAATTTAGTAAGATAATATATACGTTCTGTGGAAGGTAATGATTAATGTTTATGGTGACTGTCTCAAGATATATGTATTAAATAAGTAATCAAAGTAATTAAGAGTAACAGAAACAAGCGTTAAATATAAATGTATATACTACAAGGATATAGTGATATATTCAATACTAGAGAACATGATGAATATTCTAGTATCTGTTCACTGATTTCATTTATTGTTGTAAATGAATCAACCAGTGTTATGCTTTCAAGTTTAGCTCAATTTAGGTTGTAGGTAGGTATATGAAAGCTCTGCATGCTTTGCATTCAGAAATCGGGTTTAGATTTCAATTATACCCACCGATGAAAGCAATCACCATTAATTGAATGTTCTATCGTGAGCAGAGTAATGATGAGTTTGATTGGATCAACATTATTTGCAATCAAACATGTCGGTCATGATCGTCAGTGACCCGAACGCGAAGGTTCGACCTTAATTTCATGGCTCGACGATGCTCGGAGGCGGATCCTATGAAATTGATATATTTCCGATTGGATTTAAATCTGATCATACCTAACGGATTGCTTTTCCGCATACCATCAATAAATACATTTTAAATAGGTTTATAGCGTACGATTACTTGCGGATATTATTATCTTAATGTGTCCGTTGAACATTGTGATTAAAAAAGATTTATTTTAGTTAATGAGTATATAATTTCGACGGGAGAAAGGTTTTATATTTTGCATATTTATTGAATATCATTTCTAAAATAAACACTAATTTTATGGGTTTGAACTGTAAAATCCGACAAATCACAAATTTCAACGAATTTTTCATAAAGACACGCATTTTGTCCTCCTTGATATTTGGTAATAGGTGTACCCTATCATAAGATCGTACCGTTAAGGTATATGTAATGTTAAAAGGACTTCCTTTTAACATTACATACATATTACGCCCTCCGTAATCGCTTATGCATCACATAAAGGTATTAAGCATTGCCTGAGCATTGCGATTTCACGATAGCATAATCAATATTATTTAGTGTTATTTCGCAAAAGAGTTTGTAAGAAATTACAGAGGCTCTCCATTTTTTTTTGGTTTCGTCTAATATACTGTGGCTACTGTGTTTCATTATCCAACCCGAGCTCTAAATCAAGGGTAAATTGCGGATGGACTCATCATGTTATAACGCGCGATGACCTCATGGCTAGCCAAATGTAATCAGTTGAACTACTTTAGTTAAATTTTATAAACTATTTACCTAGTTTTATGAGTATGTCGAAACGGTTTTGATAACGAATTTTCTGCAATTAAAATTTAAACACAAAAGATGAATTAAAATATTTCTTTTGCAGAAATAATGCATTTACTGTTAAAGCTTGTATATATTTCCTATAGAATATGTAATGAAAGCGATAAAATAATAATTAGAAAATTATAGACGTTTTACTATGGGATCGTCTAATTTCTAACAACACAATGATGCATGACGGAGAAGTGCGACTTTCACTTCGCTTCATGGTATTATCTTGCTTCAATTTGAAAGTTCAAAGCTGAGTTCATCACGAAGGCCGTTTGTGAAATATTGTTTTTTTATAGTAGAACAATAGATTCCCAATTTGCATAGATAAGTTAAGATAAGTTTTTTCTGTTTTTGACCTGGTACTATTCTATTTTTGATTACGTTATTGTTGGTTTAGAGCAAATAATTTGTGCTATTCATAGAGATTAATGATGAAGGCTAAAGAGTTTAGAGGGTCAATGACAAACAGGCAACAATTCAATACTAAATATTGTAAGGTAAAAAAATGCGTCGCCAAGGTGAACAGCTATCTGGGAACTACGCAAAACATTAAAATATTTACTTATGGATTTTATTACAAAATTATTGTGAATGTCTTTAAAACACATTTGTGTTAAAAGCGAGTAATTTAACACAATGCGATGTAATTATTTAATTATTATTATAGTTAACAATATAACTAATTTTAAATCAGAAAGAGCATCAAAACAATAATCCTAATAGTTTTCAATTAATCGCAATTCTGATCAAATAAATTATGTAGCTATAAGATATTCTACACTAGAGTCTACAAAGAATAATAAATCAGATGTTAAATCTAATAAGGAATATCCTTAGACCAAGTAAAAGCTGGATACAGATTATATAACATTTAAAATAAGCTTCAGACTTCCCATGTAGCTTCACTTGAATAAATTTAAATTTCTCAGTAATATATTTAATGAACCAAATATATTAACAAATCAAGATTGTTTTCCTGGAGTAAAAATCATGGAAGACATGGGCAACTAAAATCCTAAATAGGCGGTATTAAGGTGAAAGTAGGAGCACTGCACGTGCTTAGTGCTAACTTCAAAGTTATGTACACACATTGAATATATAAATAATAATTTTCAAGAGTGCTAATGTTTATGTAACTCAAAGACAAATATTAGATATTTTCAGTTACTATTAAATATACTAACTTAACTAGCACTTAATAAGGTAATTGGGGCAATGATTACAATATTAGTTATTACATTCTCCGTATATTAGAGTTCAACGCGTTTTCATTTTAATTTTAATTTTTGTATATATGGCTCAAAACTAATTTTAATTAAGAGCCTTCTGTCATAATAATACATTTTGTTTACGTGAAAAGCTACTTATTAAAATATAAAACATCTTTACCGGATATTAAAGCATTTCTTGCAGACGGCAACTGCTGTCAAACACACGAAACGCCAAGTTAAGTACATAATATAATACATTTAAGTTTATGTTGTGTCAATTCATATATTTTTATTCCAGCATTTGTATAAATAATGCCCCCAAGTAAAAGATATACGGTCTGAAAGAGTCTTGATTATACATCAACACGATGGATAAAGATACCTAAGGATTCCATAAATCCATACCGTTATCCAGTAAGGCACTTTCGTAAGCAACCTAATTGATATACCACTTCACGCATTGTTTCCTCACAGCTATCGACATTCACCGAGCGCCAACAATAAGTTGCGTATGCAACCTTTTTTGTACAAACTTGTTGCAATCCATTGTTCGAAGGAAATTTGAAGAAAAACCGGGAAACGCGTTGCATGTTAGCAATTTGTCGGAATTTCTGCTTAAATTATT